GGGGAACACTTCTCAAAAATCAATTAACCGATTATTGTTACTACAAAAAAAAACGCTCTACGCATTATTAATCATACTAGCTACCTTGCCCATACAGATCCGCTTTCTCTACAAGATAGGATAATGAAAATAAATGATTTATATTATTATCAACAAAAAATAATCTTCCAGAATACATTTCATCAATGTTTTACAGTAGCAGTACTTTACATACCCATTTAACTAGACAGGCCAGTGACTTCCATTAGTAAGGACATCCATTGCAAAGAAAAGTGTTAAGTTTGAAGGCCTTATACTTTGGAATTCCCTTGCCAAATCTATTAAGAAATCGCCATCCATTTCTACATTCAAAGTTAAGATCAAACAATCTATTTTCAACAAATATTCATGCTCGTGAGCCTTATTATTATCCCTTGTTGGTATATAGTCTTTCTTTTGATTTATTTAAGTTACTCTGTGCTTCTAGTAATGCTTTTTAAGCCATATATAATTTGTTTGTTTCTATTTTTCTCGCATAGCACCATGGTCTTTTTTGAGCCCTATACAAAAATGTGGCTTTCTATCATTATTATAATTTTCTTTAATATTCTGTTAAATTCATCGCACTCGACAAGCTTGCTTTTTGTGGGTCCCCTGCATCTCTTGGTATTAATACTAGTACATTATTTCTTATCTTATTTGTTTTAACATACCTAATTTATTTTGAAGAATTATATTTATATTTTTTTGTATTGTACCATGAGGTGGAATAAAGTAAAGTAAAGTAAAGGAACCGGGCAAACATGCCATAGGCATAGGCCTTCATGTAGGCTTTAGGCTTAGCCTAGGCATGCTACTTATTGCTAGGCAAACAATGAAAAATGAGTACGTAAACAATGTTTTTTTTTTTTTTTATAAACAAAACACGTCAAACTATCCTTCTTAACTAATCATAGATCGCAAGCTTATGCATTATGTGGGTTTGCTTAATCCGGCCAAAAATTTCATTGTTCCACACGAGATGTCGCATTGGCTTCAGATAGTTTTGCAAAACAATGACATTTGTGTGCAGCTGCCGTGGGGAGGTGCGGGCATGGTCTGAGTAACAAGAACTCTACAAATTGCCTTTTTATCCCCCTTGCTGTAAGTACTAATTAGTGTAAGTGTTGCAGCAAAATTAGAAATCCGCCGAAACTATGTAATAATGCCCTAGTCGTCCAATTTCTAGTTTCGTTATCGTAAATGTACAAATTTGGTGATGCTCAGATCAGCGCAGCCAGCTAGCTGCAGCCAAGTAGACTTGCCCAAGTCTGGGTTTCACTTGGTCAGTGCAGGAAATGCACGCCGTAGGTTGTGTATACTATTAGTTTTCTTATATCAGCCGTGCGAAGCACGCTGATATACATGTACTGTGATCATCCAAATTTCTTTCTAAAGTTCTTTCTTTCTTTCTTTCTTTCTTCTTCGGGCAAACGGTCACGTGACCAATGAAAAAATGGCCATAACTCCTTAACTATTCAGCCGATTTCAAACAAATTTGGTCAAATTAAACCTTGACACATGCCCTACCTAGCCATGTTCATAAGATCCGGCCAATGGTCATCCAATGGCCTGTAGTGGTCATTTAATGAATATTTACAAAATGCTTCTCCCAGAGTCTTGACCCAATTAATGTAAAACTTGGCCAGTTGTATCTTTGGACCAAGCCTCCAAAATTTGTTCACAGAATTTGGCCAGTGGTCACCTACTGGTCAGTAGGGGTCATTTTATGAAAAAAATGAAAAAGCTGTTTTACATTTTAAATCTTTGCAACCCTGTTCAGTGTATTTTTCTCTCTCTCTAATTCTCAAATTTCATAATTCCTGACTTCTTTGGTTGTCGAGTTATTTCAATTAACCAATTAAGACAAGTCCACTCAGTGCATTTTGTACTGGAGCTCAGAACAGTTGTTTATCCTTGTGTGTAGGATCTGTGCTCAGACCATGGAGTGCGGGTGGTGGACGCAAATGTAAAACCTTCATTCTCCTGGCCTAAGTTTAGCTTGAGTAACTCCAGCTCCAGTGCTCATATCAGGAATTTGACATATGAGCAGGAGTTAGTCAAGCTAGCCTCAATATAGAACAAGAAATGCCAGTGGCAAGCGTTATTGGTTGTGATGGGTTGATCTGTGTGAGTGGTCGATTAACCTTACCCAATCGGTCGATTCTGTAGGATATCTCGGACTTTACTTACCTGAAGAAAATCCCCCACCATAGTCGTGAATTAGAAAGGAAAGGTGGCAGCGGGATTGACCGATAGCGTCGATTAATCAATTGACCGATAGCCCTAGTGCAATGCAATCGACCAACATCGTTACGACAGCTGTAATGCCTTACGGGATTTTCATCTGTGCTGTCATTACAGAATTGACTGTTTCCCTGACCTAATACTACTAGGGGGAGTATTTGACACATAAAGAAAACTGCCATTGCCCAGTAGCATGAGTCCGACGCGACGCCTCATGGGTCCGACGCCTCATAAGTCCTAGTCCAAGTAACTTGGACCCAACTTGTCGCCTTTTAACATTCGGACATGGTCTGGCGATAGTAGGGTCCAAGCAAATGTGCCATCCAGCGACACAATTCTGATGTTGACCCAAAAACCCCAAAAAAACAATATTGCCCAACAAAAACATCAGATTTCACCCCCAAAACGGCCTCTGAATTACTAGATATGCCACCAGAGGTACAAGTAGAAATCGATGATTAAGATCGAGGTACTAAAGTTTTCATAAGATGGAATATTTGCGTCGGGGTGATGTAAATCAAATTAGGTTTTGCCCTTCACCAATGTATAAACGACCCAAGAGATTTTTTCCAACTTTCACTCGGAGGTAGCACACTGAGTATACAGTGTTTATACATCGGTGAAGGGCAAAACTAATTTGATGTACTAAAGTTTACTTACGATCTGGATGAAAAGTAAAATTTCCCGTTCAATTCTGACATGTCTGAGCGCTCTCCTTGCAATCTTGAACACGTTAAATTTCTGACTCGTTTGAACAACAAGATGTGGTCGTGGAGTGGAGTCGGGAACTAGCTTGAACTGGTTCCGCTCATATTTCTAACTGATTTGATCATGAAGGGAACCAGTTCAAGCTGCCCTAGTTCCCGACTCCCCATCATCGTTCGAAATGCACATGTGTTTACAAACGAGATCCAGTCTACTCATTATCACAATCGATGCATCGCGCTCGGTTTCCCATTTTCGGAGCATTGAATGAACGCTGGGCACGACCACATCGCGATGTTCAAACGACTCAGAAATTTAACATGTTCACGATCACGAGGAGAGCTCTTGGAATTGAACGAGAAATTTCACTTTTCATCCAAATCGTATGTAAACTTTAGAACCTGGATCTTAATCATCGATCTCTACTTGTACCTCAGGTAGCGTATCTAGTATTGGGAGGCCGTTTCGAGGATGAAATCTGAGGTTGTGTTGGGCAATGACATGTTGGGTTTTGGGGTCAATGACAGAATTGTGTCGCACGATGGCAGCACCGTTGCTTGGACCCTACTAACACGACTAATGCTGGACCATGTCCGAATGTTAAAAAGGTGATATGTTGGGTCCAAGTTACTCGGACTACATAAGTCCAAACTTTCGGACTTATGAGGCATTGCCAGACTTATGATCCATAAATTCCATCTCGTAGGTCCGATGCCTCATAAGTCCGATGCCTCATAAGTCCGACGCCTCATAAATCCGACAATGGACAAACGCTGTTTCGAACTTACAGTATGAGGTGTCGGAGCTCTGAGGCGTTGGACTTATGCGGCGTTGGACTCATAAGTCTGGCGCGTCATAAGTCCAATGCTTCAAGTCCGAAATTTTGGACTTATGAGGCGTCGGACCTGTTTTTTGTAATGTTTCATTATCAGATTATACACCAATTAAGTCCTGAATTTTATCGTTTATGTTGGAATATGTTTGTCCCGAGGATTTATGTCAGATACTGTCACGAACTTATGCAGCGCCCTCAATAGTTGATAAAATCAAATAAAAACACTGCTTCGGTCTTTGTATAACGTGAGATACGACAGTGCATTGTGTTCAAATTTTCTCCAGGTATTGTGAAGAAAACCCATGAAAAGCAGGATTTGAGCTAAATTACAGGTGCATACCTTTATTCTGCGTCATCCGAACGCTTACGTTTTTTTGCCTTATTTATATTATGCTAAAAAAATATTCATGAATACGATCAGAATTGTGTAAACTTCCAAACACATGTGATATTCATGCTTCAAACAAACTGTAGATGGCACGAAAAAGTTTGATTTGTAATTTTGTCAGCTCTGTCACAGTCATGCTCAGTCACATTTCACCGTGACGGAGATGATTTCTTGAAATTTTCTTTAGACGAAATAAAAAAAAACCCATGTTCTGCGTCCCCGCCCGCTTCCTTTTTTTTTCATTCTTTTTTTAAATCGAAAATAATAATACATTTTCAACAGTGACATCATTTTGGCCTCTTTATCTGTTGCACCCAGCCCATATAAAGCTGGTATGTCATTTCCTGAGTCCAATGGCAGCCATTTAGAAAAAAACAAACTTGCGGCCATCTTGAAAAATAGCCCGGTCGGGCAACCATTTTGGAGGGGAAGAAAAAGGGGGCCTCCCGCTTCCTTTATTTAAAAAAAGGCAGGACCACTAAACATGTTTTTTTTTAATTTTGCCTTATGGTAATAAAATCCACCATTTATTTTATTATGTTCATACTTTAAAAGCTCTCATTAGAATTTACTCGGCGTCACATTTATTCAAATATTGTCATTGCCATCGCAAAAGGTGTGATGGATATGACACTTGCATTTTTCCTATGCTACAACGCTGACAAGTGAATGTTGATAAATGGTCAAAACTCCCCTAAAGATTGCGCCGTACGCTAATTATAGTTGCTGTACAACATAATGATCACATCCCATGAAAGAAATTCAACATTTGAAAAAAAAAGTTTCAAAATTTTCCAGACGCCCAGAGTAGACACTTACCGTACTGAAGAATGACCCTGCATATGAGTCGAACACCGTAACCATTGGACCACGTCACCCCGCAAGACGATGAAGTGCAAACTTGGTATGCATCATGTTAGTGTGGGTTGGAGTTGGTCTGGACCCAAGGTTGTCTGGGTCTGACTTGACTGTAAACTATATTTCCAAATTGTGGACACAAGTTGGCAGTCTAGTGCAATATGAATTGCTCATCAAATGTGAACGAAGTGTTTAAACTTTAGAAAAAGCCTGATTGTCATTTTTTTCCCCTCTTCTTAATCATTACAGATTAATACAAACATGCATCAGTGTCATAGTCAACAGACCCAGGCCAAACGCAGGGAAAAGCCATCATGACAGCGTTGTGAACAATTGCCAGGGTCCAAGCCAGCCGCTGCAAGCTAGAGATTTATTCATTACTCAACAAACTGCTGTGCCTTGGCAGGATCTGCCAGTTGGTGTGAAGCAGTCACCCCGTGTACAACACAGCTTTGAACAGGTGCCTCATTCCTTGAACTCTGGTAGTGTATTTGGCACAGGGTTCAGCTTTACAAAATAAAGACATGCGGCCTATCTGTAGTGGATTTAAACCAGAGTCTGTACAAAGTGAAAGCTACAACCAACCCACACTTGGAGGATGTTCTCACAAACTGATTTTCAGTGAAGACCAATCAAGACTTCAACTTGAGGTTACAAACATTCACCAACCCGTAAATGGGCATCCGCATTCTCAAAAATTGATGTCTTTTTCCCAGAAGTGTATGTCTTCAGGTCAAATTGGGCAGACTTGCCATGATGTAAAGGCAAGATGTACTGATAGTGGCTCACACAGAATGAGTAACTTCCATGTAGCCCTGCAGCCACATGCTGCTGAGCATGATGAGCTGACAGCATCTGGATGCAGTATGTTGCTACCAGGTGCCAGTCAAGGTCTGCTCACAAGACATCATGCTAGATCACATGACATGAATTCAGGAAGGTAAGGTTTCCAAATATGTACATGTACATCACTTTACCAATACAATACAATACTGATTTAATGAGCAATGATTGAGTAAACATTTGATTGAACCATTTTTATTTTAAATAACTCGGATTAAGCCCTATACATATACATAACATGTTTTAAATTACTTGTTTTAAGCTAGAAATGCAGGATACATGACAGTACATGATAAATTAGAGTTTCTGAAACTGACATTAAATTTAAAAAAAATAGTGTAGTCCTTAAGAAATTCTTGTAAAATTATTAAATATGGGACCGCTCATTCACCCTAACCAAGTCCCCTGGCATTTTTGCCAGGGGACTTGGTTTTTGCCAGGATGTAACCTCAATCCTGCAGAATCCTCCGTTATTTTTTTAATGTGGTCCTTGGAGGGATGACCACTGCCTCAATCTTGCAAATTTCTCCGTCAGTCACTGTCAGTTTGTTGAGGCAGAGCCAGTGACATCCTGGAACAGTATGGAGGATTTCAAGTATAATGTAGGCCTACATTTATGCACGGCTGACCATAAACAACACAAGATCCGGCCCAAGACCCTGACACAGTGCATCCTCCAAAATCAGCAACACACTTTTGCCATGTAGCCTCAATCCTGCAAAATGCTCCATTTTGCAAAGAGGATTTTTGAGGATTTGGGCAGTTTAGGGTTAAAAAAAAAGGCCTAAAATACATAACTATTGAGTTGAAATTTTGTTCTTGTGTATTATAAAATGGGCACAGTATAGTAGGGTATTCATGTCCATTTAAAAAATAATGGTTGTAAAAGTTAGTTTAATTTATACAACACCTGAATAAATCCCCGTCATCTGATTGGTGAATTGTAGATCACGTGACATATTATTATTCGGTATAATGCACGGTGCGACCATGCGTTATACCCATGCGTTATACCATTTCACTTTGCGCTTGTTCCATGACGCGGTATTTGCGTGCAAAATGCATGCTGGTGTGCGCGTTCAGCGTAGCGCGTATTGTTCCAAAGAGCCAGCGCTACAGCGTTGGGTTCAAACATTTTCGTGAAGGGGTAGTTCAACATCTTTAAAATCAAAATAAATTGTAGTTTATAATTTACCAATCAAATGACGAGAATTTATTCTGGTGTTGTATAAAACAAATAACGAATGTTTTACGTTCGTGCGATGGAAAGAATAATTTCATTCGGTGACAGATTGAATGTTCTATTCCACTCGGCTTCGCCTCGTGGAATAGAACATTCAATCTGTCACCTTATGAAATTATTCTTACCATCGCACTCACAAACATTCGTTATTTGTATACTACTACATGTACATTGTCCGATACCGACATGTAACACATATAAATTGCATGTGTAAATAAGTTAATGTATTTTCACACTTTTAACTTTGCCAATTTCTTTTGAAGATTATTCCTACGTACCTCGATCCATCAAACTCCCACCCCCCTGTTTTGGGGGATTTTGGCAGATTCAGGATACCTCCATATTGCACAAACTGGGGGATTTTGATGGATTCAGGATTGTAAGCCTAGTGGAACTGCAGGATTTTGATGGATTCAGGATACCTCCATATTGAGCTGTTGGGGAACTTTGGTGGATTCAGGATCTCAACAGAATAACTCTTTGGCTATGTTTGCGGTCAAGTAAATACTGCTTGTAGCCCTGCCAGGTCTGTCACATGCTGTACAAAAATGTATGTACTAGGTGGTTGGGAGCTTGTGACTGCGGCTTATTAGGCCTCAGCATATACAATGGATTATGTACATAACCCATCCAGACAAAGCAATGCTGGGGTCGGACAATGGCTCATTGAAATAGCCCTTCCAGACAATGCATTTAACATCATAGTATACATAGTTACCCAAAGCCCAAGTTGAAAGGAAAAACAACCAACATCATATCCACCAGCAGTTGAACCATGCATTGGTGTATTTTGATGGATCCTACGCAACATCACACATCACAATTTTCATGCGAGCATGGTATCCTGAATCCGTCAAAATCCACCAGAAATTTAGGTGATGGATTTTGAAGACTCTATGGAAAAACATGCTGTATTTTTCTATGCCACAATGGTATCCTGAATCCGCCAGAATCCATCGAGACTTTTGCTGGTGGATTCTGGCGGATTCAGGATACCTCCAGTATCTACACTGGAGGATTCTGATGGACTCAGGATACCAGCATTTTTTGCTTGAAAAAATTGGTGGATTTCGGCAGATTCAGGATACTTTCTAGTAAAAGAGCCCCAGGAGTTAGGGTTAATAAAACTTTCACATTCAGACATCCAAATCTCATTGAAATGCAAGGTAAATTGGGTCTGACAAACCTCCAACTTTGGAGGACATCACAACATACCTTGATGATGATGATGTTGTAGATATCATTTTTTTGGACTACCATAAGGCATTTGACTTGGCACCACACGGAGATTGAAATCCAAACTCCAAGCATATGACTACAATGGGAAGATTCTTAAGTGGATAGAATCATTTCCATCAGATAGAAGAGAACAAATATAGGATATGGGGTCACAAAGGTTATGCCTAAATAAATTACCCATTAAACCGTAAGTAGTAAGCAGTAAGTAGAAATTAGAGCTGTGGCATGAATATGAAATTCTGCCATTGGGAGGGGGGGGGTTGGAAATCTCAACAAAAACAGTAGCTGTTTTCAAATGACATACTAATAATTCTCACCTTAGGCCAAGTAAAAAAAAATGTTTAGCGGTCGTGCCCACTTCCTTTTTGGAGGCTGCCTCCTCTTTTTTGTTAACAAAAAAAATGATAAATTTTAAAGAGTGACATCATTTTGGTCTCTTTGTCTGTTGCATCTAGCCCACATAAAGCTGGTATGTCATTACCTGAGTACATGTGGTAGCTATTTAAAAAAAGCTGGCGGCCATCTTCAAAAATAGCCCAGTCGGGTGGCCATTTTTGAGGGGGGAAAAGAGCCTCCTAGCTCCCTTCTGTTTTTTTTTTCATTTGGCCTTAAAGTACAGATTGAATGACTGCCACATTTTGTATGTGCCAGCACTGTTTTTTAATGAATGTTTCAGACAACATACCTCTATGAGTATGAACTGTCCCTCAAAGCCACTTTCAAGCCCAAAGAGATCATGCATGAATTGCACTGATAAACCTCTCAGGGGAATCACTGGTATAATGACATTGGAAGATTTATCCCAAACAGATTCAAAGTTTACCTAACATTTTAATTTTGTTTTTCAATTTTTTTATAATACAAATACAAGGAAATCAAGAGACAGTGAAGGCGACAGTGGAGGAAACGTAAAATCTAGAAAGCGGTTGCATGGCAAGAGAAGCCAGCAGTTTGTTGAGGAAGAAAGGTAAACAGATTTCAAGAGACTATGAGAGCAAAAGACATGAAAGTCAACTGTTTGACATAGTGGCTTCTGCTCTGCCTCTCTTCAAAAATGAGTTTCAAATGTTTGCTTATTCCTGCAATGTCAATCCTTATAATTATCAATTGAAACCTTCATGATCCTAAAATGTCAGCATAAAATTGATGCCCTAACCCTAACCGCCCTGAATCCTTCAAAACCCTCTTTGCCAAAGTGGAGGAATTTGAAGGATTGAGGTTACATGGTAAAAGTGTGTTACTGATTGCGTAGGATGCATTTTGTCAAGGTCTTGGGCCGGACCTTGTGTTGTTTTTGCTCAGCCACGGATAAGTATATGCCTGGATTATGCCCCCCCCCCAAAAAAAAGAGTTCTGCTTCCGATTACATGGCATTCGAAAATAGGGTAGGTAGGTAGGGAGCTCTTCTTTTTTTGCCAATTTTTGTGTGTGTACGATCATATGGAGGCGTCTGCGTGTAGTCAAGGGTAAAAGGTATAAAGTGATGGTTTTGGGTGGTTTTTTTTTCTTCTCATTTTTCCTATAAAAAAATTAGGGTAGGGGCTGTCAGAATAGGGTAGGTAGGGAAACTGGAAGCAGAACTTTTTTTTTTTTTTTTGGCCTTATGCTTGAAATCCTACACACTGCTCCAAGATGTCACTGGCCAGGCCTCAACCTGTTGACAGTCACTGCCGCAGGATTTTGCAGGATTGAGGCTATATGCTATTTGTGATGCGGTCAAGCTAAATGAGTCGTTTGTCGACCCTGGTCAATTTTTTTTGTTTTACAAATTTGAAAAGAGCAGAATCTCAGCATTACTGCTGTGAAAGCCGCATGCTGATACCATCTTTAGTTAAAAAAATGATGGAAGTTGGAACACAAGAAATCTGATGAAGTGATGTGATGAAGTGGTCCTATTTTGGCCTGAATCTCCAAATGAAATTCCCGACAAACGACTCATTTAGCTTGATCGTATCACATTTTTCCAGGAGGCCAATTGGAGGATTTTGCAGAATTGAGGCTACATCCTAGCAAAAAAGCCTAGGGAGTTAGGGCTAAAATGTATTTCCCAGGTGATGAATAAGGTCAACTTCCATTAGTATTGGATTCACTTTACCTGGCCAAAACACATGTACTTACCGCAAAACACTCCTGCGGCCCATAACATTCATCGCCACATTCAAGTTTTCACCGGCGTGCTTTGCATGCAACATTTTGATGGGTGTGGCATGTAGTTGCATCTGGCATGTTTAAAGTTGACCGCCAAGTTTCAAATATTTGAATAATCCGGGCAGTTTTGAATAGTTGAATACTAAATCGAAAGTGGACAGCCCTATAAATGAAATGGTTTGTTTCCTTGGGAAAAAACTTTGTAAATACGGAAACACCTTATTTTGATGGGACCTCACTGGATGTATTGTATTGAAAGCTGAGGCAAAAAATCGAAGAGTCGTAACCAACATTTTGGAAATGGGTCAAACAGTGAACATGTTAGACTTGGCCCAAGTCGGGCATCTTGCTTGGTCTGCAGCAGTATGCAGACACATACACACGCTACATGGGCATATTGGGGAACATTCCAATTGTAGTCTTCAACTTGTGTACCAAAAAGAACTATTTATTTGATGTCGGTTTCAAATAACCGGTTAGCAGAATTCAAACAGGAAACTAGAATTCAAACCAAATTAAAAAAAACAACCTAACCCTAACCCCACCACCATTTCCAACTGATGACATCATCAAACCAGAAGTAGATTTTTAGTACAAATCGCAAGAGGCACATACCATAAATAAAGCTAGAGTGGTGTTTCACAAAACATGGAGTAAATTGTTGAACAAAATCATTGGAACTTTAAAATGTTTGATTATTTTCTACTTATTGACCAAAAGATATTTGGCTCGGGCCATTATCCACATCCAGGCCCCAAAAGATAATATAAAAGGGTCATTGAAAATTGGATTCCTGGATTTAAGGTTTATATCGGACAATTTCCTTTCATTCATTGTAATATAAAAATGCATTATAAGCTGAATAGAAGATGGCTTTGTTATTAATCTACATGTAATGCCTAATTAGCCTTGGTCAAGGCGTTTGTCATTATTCGTCCGTACGTGGGTAAACGATCGGCGGCACATCATCGTTATGCAGTGCATTAAAGCGTGAACAGTGACCTCATGCGGCCACTATTTTATGCAAATCATTTGGATCCAGACGAACGCCTTGGTCCAATCCTCCATGTGAGGTTTTGGGGGTGGTGCTATATGCTTATAGCCTATACATGTAATACATATACGTTGTGTGTCTCACATTACACACAACACCAATGCACAAAAAAAGTGGTTTCTGACACGTCTGCAAAAGCAAATAGCTGCAAATAGTTTGATGACGTTGGGGTTTAACCAAGGTGTGATTGGACGCTCCACATATTAGCCCCGCCTACACTTACCGGTATCTGTATTCGCATAATGAGGTCATGCGCTGAAAATATAGTGCAAGATAAAGAAAAGCATAAGCTTTCGAGGATAATTGGACCAAAGCGTTAGTCTGGATCCAAATGATTTGCATAAAATAGTGGCCGCACGAGGTCGCTGTTCAAGTTGTATTTTTAATGCACTGCATAACGAGGATATGCCGCCGATTGTTAACCGCAGCGTACGGACGAATAATGACGAATGCCTTGACCAATGGTAATGCCTAATCTCTGTATCATTGCCCTCTCATTTACACAGTTGTTACTTGCCATCACGTAAGCAATTTCTTAGTGAAGAGAAAATGGCTGCTAGGATGAGCAACCTAAGCATCACAAATGAAAACAAGATGGCTTCCTTACAGGAGCGATGGCTGCAAGCTAAGATACACACCAAGAGACAACTAGAAGAAATTGAAAGCAGGTAGAATTAGAAGGCACACAATTATACAAACATAACATGGCTTGAGGGTGGACGGTTGTTATTTGCTCCCAGGGGTATTGTATTGACAAACAAGTTTCAAGGCTAATCCACGGGAATTAGAGTCTTAACTTCTTTTACCGCGGAGAGCTAACATCGACTGTCTGCCCCAAAATATGTTTTCGGGTACATATCTTTTCTTGTTTTCTTCGCTGACAGATCTTTCCAGCCTCACACGTTGCGTGTTTATCTGTCATTCGTTTCTAATACCGCAAAACCTTTGCGAGTATACACGTCATCCGACGTGAACTGGTTGAGGACGATCATAACTGCTGAAATAAATCATTCCAAAGATCTGGTTTGTCTGTCTGGGATTAAATATGAATGAAAGCCCATTCTGTTGCAAAGCTATTTCCAATGCATACCATGAACGTTCATTGCACCCTGCAGGACACTGTCTAGGGAAGTCGGGCGCTGCTTTATCCAGGCCAGCAGTCAAGATATATACTGAGGTGGAATAGGAACACTCATACCTATACACATGCATGAGTTCGCCATGCATTGTGTGTTCCCATGATCACAACAACAATAACATGGGCTAGGGAGCCTACGGAATTGAACGGGAAATTTCACTTTTCATGCAGATCGTATGTAAACCTTAATTCCTCGATCTTAATCATCAATTCCACTCGTATCTTAGGTGGCGTCTCTAGTAATACCAAGGCCATTTTGAGGGTTAAATCTGATGTTTTGTTTGGTCGTTAGTTATGTGTCAGACCATGGCTGCCATTCAGCTTGAACCCTACTATTGCAAGACCATGTCCTGGGTTTAAAAAAAGGTGATAATTAGAGTCCAAGTTACTCGGGCTAGGGAAATCCCAGGTTTAAGTCATCACCACAAACCTTACTTGCGATTGCTACCAGAGTTGTAATGACTCGAGTCAATGACTCGACTCGAGTCCGACTCGAGTCACAATTTTTGGTGACCAGAATCAGATTCGAACCAGCCAACTGATCTGTTAGCTTGGTGGTCAAGTGGTAAGACATCTGCACTAGAAAGCAGGAGGTCGTTGGTTCGAGTCCCACCCGAGTGATTTTGTTCCAACTTTCACTCTGGAGGTAACACACTGAGTATACAGTGTTTAAACGTCGGTGAAGGGCAAAACCTATACTTTGATTTATATCACCCCGACGCAAAATTCCATCTTATAATAGTTTACGCGGTACCCGCTGCTATGTACATCAGATTCGAACCAGCCAACCGATCCCGTTAGCTCGGTGGTCGAGTGGTAAGACATCTGCACTAGAAAGCAGGAGGTCATTGGTTCGAGTCCCACCCGAGTGATTTTTTCCAACTTTCATTTGGGAGGTAACACACTGAGTATACAGTGTTTAAACGTTGGTGAAGGGCAAAACCTATACTTTGAAGTCTCTTCTGTTTCACTGCAGGTTGTCTGATTCAGAATCAGACGTGGAAAGTGAGTGTGACATCGGTACTACAGGAGATGATACTAGCAAGGACCACTGTCGGATTCATGTTAGTGCAGAGCTCAAGACAGCTTTGAGACAGCAAGAAGCATTCTTACCAGACTCTGTTGTCAAGTCTATGTAAGTTCACAATCATAACCATGGGCAATTCCATGCTAACTCACGTTACACTTAACGGTGGTCTTCCGTCAACTCTATACTGTTATTCAATAAAGTCAAAGCATTTATAGAGAGGATTTTTCTCACAGAAGATCCCTTGAACTAAAGTGACTAAACTACACAAAAGGGATCAACAGAATAAATATCTTTTGGTTTGACATGAAGTTTTTTTATAGGTACCTTGGGTTACAAAGGACATGGCAGAAAGCTGTTGATTTAGGGCTTTCACTTAGTGCTGCAGCCGAACCACCGAACCGAACTAAAAATAGGCGAACTTGGCCTTCCGAACCGAACCCGAACCGAACCGAACCCAAATGTCAGTTAGGAAGAGTTCGGCAAGTATTTGTTGATAGCGCTAGGAATGCTAATGCTTGCAATGAAAGGGCAAAAATAAAATGCACGGATGATTGAATTTACTGTGTTGACAAGTCACCGCATTCATCTTCATTATTTGCTGTGTTCTAGCCAGACATACAACGTACGCGCCTTGCGATTTTCTCAATGAAAAGCGTGCTCTTTGCATTCATCCAGCGTGGTCAGTATCCGGCCCTGCGCCATGTTCCAGCATGACGTAGTACGCTTGGACCAAACCAATTGCGGTGAAGGGTGTGCTTTCCTCTGGAAAATTTACCAGCATTTTCAGTTTTTTTTCACCGTATCAGAATTTAATGGGAAAAAAACAACTTTTTATGGAGTCTGAAACCTTTCCCATGTTCACAATAAGTTCGTAATTTTCGCAATATATTTTTTTTTCGTAAAGAATGAATAAAAAAAATCGATGTAATCTCCCAAAAGAGGGTGAAACACCCCTTTACGAAATGGATCCTTCTGTAGAATGAAAATTCATCATGGAGTCGCAAATCGAAAAGTTATTATTTTTTTACGGTTGGCTTGTTGCTAAAAATAATTATGATTTCATAAGTTTGGCACAGTAAAAGATCCTGTTTGTTCTTAGAACAAAACTAATCAGCAATTATTGCCACGAAGCATTTTTAGTGCTCATCAGGGCATGCTCGGACGGGACGGAACTCGTCGGGAAAACCGTCAGCACGTGTGGGAAAATGTTAGGGCGATCGTGTAGCGTACGTAGGGCCCCTGTTTTGTTTTGATCAAATTATAGTCAAAAATGTTTTTTATTACGTGTTATTGTTAAGTTGTGTCGCCGCGCTGTCATCGTCATTTTACCCCCAAATTTCCCTCAAAAAACCTCAAAACCCTGCTCTCTATCTATGACATACCTGTTTATTGAGAACCAACTAGTTTGGTCTGTCTAATAATTTTAAAGTGGATTTGTTCCCTTAAGTTAGGAACCGGGCCCTACACTACACGATCGCCAATTTTATCATAGTTGCCGGGCCGGATAGGGCTGCGATAGGTAACGCAAGTAGCAATTTACGATGTTCATTTCTCAACGTCATCAAGTCAAATTATAACGGAATTTTGTTTACACAACAAAAATAAGATTCATCCTTCAACTTGTGTTGAATAGCATGTGGAAATTGCAGTGCCTATTTGGTCAGAGGTGTGCGGTACACACGTGTTTGTTCGAACAGGGGAATTAACGGCCTGGCCTGCTTTTCATTGTAGCCCAATACATGGAATGGACAAGTACATTATGTGTGCACTTCTGAAGCCGAACCGAACCGAAGTTCGGGAAAAAAAATCGAATCGCAAATGAACCAAACCGAACTGAACTTGGTGGATCAGTTGCAGCACTGCTCTCGCTTACTTGCGTCGCGCCTTTCTCTTCGGACACTATAATATTGTACGCTCAAACCCACCTGCCTGCAATGGTGCTACCCTGCATATAGTAATGCTCTACGGGCAAGATGAGTGCAGTAGCACCCCCCCCCCCCCCCCCACAGAAGTGTTGGGAGATTCTACTACTAGTAATAGTGAATAATTCCGCGTAGAGTGAACCACCCACCTTCCCACTCTTGCGTATGTGTTCACTTGCACTCCTGTAAGTATAATGACCAGTGGGCCAAAAAGTACTTTTGGAAATAAATCTAAGGGAATGGCTAGCGCCCTCAAGAGAATAATATGATCATTTGCATTTGTTACAAATGGCCTGATAAGGGGCTACTGGCAGATATTTGTCAACTGAGATGTTCAATGTTTCAAGTCCATTGGTGCTGGGACAAAAATGCTGTTCATTTTCAACCGTCGCAAAGTGCAGCACATGGTATCTGTGGTGCATAGAACCCATAGGTCACAGGGAGTGCCAGATTGCTGGCTTTGTCGAGGGAAAGTACATGTACCCTAATTTTCGGAATATATGCCGCGCGGCGTATAAGCCGCAGCACGCAAAAATCTGCAAATTAAGATTTGAAGTCGGCGTATAAGCCGCATCGGCGTATAAGCCGCACCCGCAACCGCAGCGGTTCAATTTCGTAAGGCCTCCAAATTCTAATCAAAATGCTCTGAACCAGTTCCATTTGCACTACGAAAGCTATAAAAGGGCCACAAATGTTATGTCAAATCATTTACAGTCGATTACTCTTACAAACAAATATGGAAATTGATGATGAGAAATAAAAAACGGGAATTGCTGCCGGCTGGATCGTCAGTGAGCCTGTGCCGGCGAATGACATTATTTTCCCCCAGCACTTTAGAGAGTATGCAACCCACCATGTGTGGAGCGCATGTTGTGGAGCGCTACAAATCCTGCTTTGTGGCAACAGACGCTGAGTTGTTTTGTCCTAAAGGATAAACAAGTCCGTTTTTACAGCAAAACTTCAAATTGTTGTGATTACTAACGAGTAGTAACGTCAAAACTTCAAGTTTGGATCGTAACTTTCTTCGAAAACAGTCAACACGATGCCGAGATTTTATGGACGAATCCATTAATTTCGTAGGGGTGGTTTCACCCCTGCTTTGAGTTTTACATCGTTTCTTGAATACATTTCAAGAAAAAAAATTATATTGTGACGTTTAACAACTGATTATCAAATAAAAATATGTTTCAAACTCCATAAAAAGTATTAGTTGTCTTTTTCCTTTTTTTAAACTGGGGAAATATTGGTAATTATTGTTCCCAGGAAAGTGCACCCCTTTATTACCACAAATGGTGTGGTCCATGGGGAATCCATGCAGCATGCATGCAGCATAGGCAGCATCACGTACGGCCGGTTGTCGATGTCCAAGGGACAGCTTTCACTAACCATACTTTTTACCGCTCGGTATCTTTTTGTGGGACGTGCTTTCGGTTTGTTAATGACTTTCTTAATTGATAATTATGTCAGCAACACATCTCTTCTTGTACTAGTGCATTAAATACACATGTAAATGTCATTTTTATTCTTCAAGGCTCTGCGTATAAGCCGCCCTGTGTATAAGCTGCAGTAAACATTTTCATGGGCAAATTCAACGTATAAGCCGCGGCTTATATTCCGAAAATTACGGTACATACATGTACATAGCGTACCTAACGACATGAGGGCACTTGAGATTCTGCCAATAGTGCACAGAGGAGTCATCTTTCAAATGCCGGTTATTTAAATTTTTACTATGTCCTGGTATTTTGTATAGCCAGTTATTGATAAAAAGTTATTGCCAAACCAACGTAATTTGTTGGCATCTTTTTTTGTAGTGTTTGTAGTTCTGAGAGAAAAGCCCACGTTAAGTGCTTTGACTTTTGATATCAAATAAGACCCCCTTTAAAATGTAACACAAGTTACCATGGAATTCCCACAATAAACTTGAAGGATATTTAAAGGTATAGTCCATCATTTGTAATTCGTGCATTTTGTTTGAAGCAGCAAACATGCTCAAAATCTAAAGAAGTATGCTGAACAACTAACCTGATGAAGTTTCAGCTCAGCTTCAGCTGTTTATTCCGAGAAAAACAGCATTTTAAGATCTCGATTTCAAATCAAAAGTTGCTGAATCATGTTTTGAATTGGACCTGAATTCAGCGTCCAAGACATGTTCTCGGACGCTCAGTTACTTTTTGGATAGCTGCAAATGATGGACTGTAGCTTTAAGTCTCCAAATCAAAATTGTCATGTTCACTACATCCACACAGGACATGTGAGAAGCTTTGGTCCCATATTGAGTTTGAAATTTGTCCATCATTTGGTGGCCTTATAGCATATGTTTTTGTATGATAATTTTTGGTTTTTAATTAAAAGTGCACACAATACACATAATCAAAGATAATGCTGCACAGATGCTGTGAATGCATTAAGTTAAGGAAAAGAAGATTTTACATATATATCAATACATCCATATTTCTCGCGATTTGGGACCCAATTTATCAAGCTTGTAGAGTGTTCAGTTACTGGACATAGGACCAATCTGATGAGTTTCAGCTATTTTATAGAGTGCAAACATGTTTACCATGGTTTTGAGATATTTATATTCTGGACTCTATCGCGAGGCAATGTACAATGAAATACCAATGATGTTGAATCATCTCTTGTGTTCTCTACCACAGTGACTTTACCACAGTCATGACTCCCTAGAAATACACGCGTTACAGTTTCACTGTGTGCTGTCCAAGCATTTACTTGTTTTTTTCTTCATGACAGGTCCAATATCTGCCACCAGATTGTCCTGTGGAAACCACCATCCTCATTTATTTCTGATGTCATCAACCCATCAGCCTCTCAAGACTTGATTTCCAAAGATAGATCTGATGGCCAGTCAAATGACACCATCAACCCTTCTGCCGGTCAAGTACATGGTCTCAATGATACCGCCAACAAACACACAGCAGATACTTCTCATGACAAGACCGACTGGAAAAATGATTCGAGTTCAACAGATGCAACTCAGTTGTTTGATTTAGTGGATGATGATGATGATATGGAACTGTAGGCTTTGTAGGGCAATAAGTCTTTCTGAAGGTTTGCTTAAGAACGGTTGGATGCAAACATTGTAAAATGACATTTGGCTGACTGTTTCCCAGGTGTACATGTATATTCACATATTGTCAGTGGGGAAACCATTAATTCAACTTGATTTGTTTGATAGTACATTAGTTTATGCCCCAGTGCCAAAGTGCTGAGTACTATCAGGCCATGCTCAGGAGTTATTGCATGACTTTGCTCAAGTCAGACTTTTTATATTTTGATATCCTCAACAGCTGCTTCCACAACAATCAGCCCTGAATTGCATCACTAACATCTTTAACAGTGCGTGCACGGTGTCTACAGTACGCATACAATGTACATACGCAGAACATGTGCATGTATGTAATTTCAATCCGTCTTGATCAATCTGCAACGAGTACCCCCCAGCAATTTATTCATCAGTGCATATGCAACATCATTACTATGCATTGTGTGCTGCAACAGCTTGACCAATCCAATCTTAGAAGACTTGTTCATTGTTTTCAGTGGGTGTGGAAGAGTGGAACACATTTTGCAAAGGTTTTAAAAAATGAACTGAAAGTTGTGCTAATTTTAACACGTTTATGGAGTACTATTTATTTTAAGTAAAATTTTGTCTGATTTTAAAAAAATGTGACATAACATAAATAATATGCAGACCAAAGTGGCTTTTAAATGTTATTGTGGAAAACCTTTAACCCTAACTCCCTAGGCCTTTTTGCTAGGATGTAGCCTCAATCCTGCAAAATCCTCCAAGTGGCCTCGTGGTAAAATGGCATATAGCCTCAAGCCTGAATCCTGCAAAATCCTGTGGCAGTCCTGTGCAGCGTGTTGTGAATTCGCACAGCTGTTTGAAAACATTGGAACGTACATGTACCTCTATTTTGTCATATCCCTCAACACAGGTTGCGTGTGCATTCCTTCATGAATCTCAGGCTGTGCGAATACGCAAACAACTCTGACTGGTGTTAAGAATGATTATATGTATGGTTTAAAGCAATCTGCCAAGGATGCCAGTGGGTTTTTGCACTAGGGCCTGAAAAATTTGACACGTGAAAGACGGCCAACTGCAATACACCATAAACACATGCATTGCAATATCACGTGTACATATATATTGTTTGTCTACTTCGAACTAATACAATTTTATTTATACATTTGTGTATGGAGCTACATTTAGCATGGTGATTGCCATGGAGCTTCGCATGCACAATTCTTTCTGTGTGTGCTACACACACGTGGAAAAAATGGAATGCCTGATTTTGTTTTCTCCAAAACATGACAAAGCCCGAGTTCTGACTATAGCCTGAAAAGTGACATCCCTGAATCTGCAAGCGTATTTGGAATAAAAACGATATTCCTTTAAATACTGGCTCGTTCTCAACTCGATCACCATTTTGAAACCGTTTTCTTTTGTCATTTTTTTTTTCAGGACCATAAATCTCAGCTGCTTTCTTCTGGAGGGTACATGGTATAAACTTAAAATATTGAACAAAAAATCAACCCTGATCTCAAGTTGTGCATATTACTCTGATTTCATGATTATGTCGTCATATATCAAATTACAAGTGATTTTAGTTGAAAAAGTGACAAGTTCTTTCACTTATTACTCATGAATGAAATCATCAATCATGTTCATACTTGGTAATCAGATAGATCGTGAAGTCGCTCGACCTTTCCTTCCGGGGCTACCAGAAGGTCACGACCTGAGTTCTCATTTTTGTAATCAGGTTAACATTGCCTCAGGCAATATTTTTTTATTCCTGGACACAAAGCCATGACCTTTACTTTTTGGTGTAACTGGAAGAGCACTGAGAATTGAATGTCAACTTCAAGGAAAAATACAACATTTGCAAACATCAAAAAACGAAATGATAAAATTATCATGAAATACCTTACTGAATTGGTAGGGACTGACAGTCTAAAGCATCCTTTAAAATCGTGGCTCCTGGAGAAAACTGGCTTTTTTCAAAAACTATTCTTAATTTTTCATATTTGTGTAAGGACACAATACTGGAGAATAAAATAGGGACATGGGGATCAAAAATAAAATTGGTTGTATTTATTTTGTTTCCCTTTCGTAATGCTTGACCGGCCTTCCCTCAGTAGAAAATAATAATGAGAAGATAAGTTTTAAAGCATCTTTCCTTTATTAGCAGCTTTATGTTGGTGATAAAGAGAAAGTTAACGTTAGTTACATGGTGTCCACTTCCTGCTTGTTACCAGACCATAATTGGCAGAAATGGAGATAATTATAGTTTCTTTATTGCAATATAAGCTATTTATTGCTGAAAATGTAAAATTTTGACGATTTCTTTTTTATATAATATTTTGTCGCAAATTTAACAAGTGGACACCGTAACTAACGTTAAATAAAATGAGAGATTTAATTGTTAAACCATTTTAATAGCAGATCAATTGAAAATTTAATGACAACAGTTTCTCACAGTAAGTACCTCAGAGAGAAATTCATCCATTAATAATTATATTCCTGTGACAATCTTATATGGACCTCTTTTGACATTCTCTGTATCAAAATGTTACGTAAGTTACATGTGGACACCACAGAGGCCTTCATTTACATAACTTTATATTATTATTGAGCCCAAAACTGATATTAAATTGTTGTTCTCCATAATACCATAGGGACCCATTTTAACTAATTAACACCAATATTCCAATGGGAAGTTGTCGCTTGTAGATATTAACTATCGTATTATACAAAGTGCACATTGTAACTAATGCAACTTTGGTGTCCAGCTGTAACTAACGTTAAATCACATGCATGGCATTTGTACTCCTAGTGCTCTGGATATCACAGTAAATATTTTAAACTGCTAGATATTCCTCAGAAAGTAATGTGCTGTTCAAAACCAATCAGCTATTATTTACTTTTCTACCCATGTAGCCTTATACTTACGTTAGTTACACCATTTAGTGGACACCATTTATCGTTACTTACATAGTGTAGAATGACTGATTTTTTTTATGTAGATCAAATGTCCTTATTGTGATTAGATATATTGGTACACATGTAGGGTACAACATCACTGTTGGAGTATTTGGCCTTTCCTCCTAACACATAATGAATTAGGCATTCATTATGTTGAATAAAAATGGACACCAAAGTGGTGACCCACCCTTAAATATGATTTAAGGAAAGGTAAAGTTTAAAAACTTATGTACATTGTGTATAAAGGAACTGATATTATGCTTCTGAAGACTTAATCATCTGAAATTACTGTAGGATATACTAAGGAGGGTTTATAAAGACCCCAGTAAATATGCTAAATAGGTAGACACCAAACGTAACTTACGTTAAATAGTTTATCTGGCGTCCCTGTGCACAAACCAGAAATATTTTGAATACAGGTTACCTGTATTTGTAAAATTCATTCCATTACTAACAACTTCAATACAATATTCATCTGAGGAAATAAATTGTAAGCGTGTTTTTAATTCATTCAAAAAGGCTTACTTGTTATGTCCCGTTTTTAAGTGGTATTTCGAGGTAAATTTTCACCAAAAATCAAGAATTTTTACCACTAAAAAATGAAAATTGTGGATTTTTCAAAATTTTATTTATCCCTTCATACTTGTACCTAACATGTTAAACCACCATGACAACATTGAGTTCCACCCTAAAATTAGCCAGTATTGTGTCCTTACACATTTAGTTATTCTGACTTTTCTTTGCAATTGATCACACACCTGTGAAGGGGTACAAGCCTGCTAGACTGATTCTCTGACCTTACAATTCCCCAAAGTGTATTAATTGCTTCGTTTCATCTTAAGTGGGGTCAGGGAACCAGACTACAAGAACATGATAGGTTTTCTTGGTTTTTCCAGCATCTACAAGCCCAAAACATTAAACAAGTCAGTTAAACAATATTTTATATAACATACTAATCCTCCAAATCCATTTATTTCTGAAAATTGCAGCAAAAGCAAATGTTGTACATTCCCTTTAAAAAAGAAGTATTTTTATTACAATTATATAAATTATGCAAATGATCAGTAATGCCCAACACAAATATCGACATGATGACATCATTTCCCAAAAGGGCGCCCTCTAGCGGCATGTCAAAGACACTTGATTTTTTTCTAAATTTGAAGCCATTTATCGAAATTATACCAAATTACCCTTATATATTCTTTGGACAACTGCAAATGAATTTTGCGAGGTTTCAGGATTCCAATCTCATCAGACCAGAACTTATATGTAGGGAGAATTTGAAAATGATATGGTTTCTTTTCTTTAATTCTAAAATTCAAATCCTTCATTTGATTCAGGTTGAGTGATGACGTTTGTAGCACACGTAACAACATCAGCTACAATGTTGACCATGGGCAATTTTCCTAATGTTGTGACGTCATCAAACCAGAAGTTATGTGTTATCAATATAAAGGCCTACACTTATATTCAATGTAATTTGTGTTTTCAGAAGTTCTTTTTACTTCACAATGAATGTGTGTAAATCTTAACGTATGCGGCATTATGGGCTCTGTGCACAAGTACCCCCTTCATGGTTACAAAGAGCAATTGGGGGATAGCACTGGGCTCTCCCAGTCTTGATGTCCCTTACATTTTAACACATTCCTGATGGCGTCTGATGTGGTGTGCTCAACTGGAGCTCCTGAAAAAGGTGGTCAAAAAGCACCATCTACTGTTTGTGCACAGAGTGCATAGAGACACGTGTCATTGCCTACAATGGGTGGGGCCGAATGAATCACTCTATAATGGATGAGGGAGCAGCGAAGAGAGGCACTGTCTATATTCATACCTGTCATGTAGTCCGGTCAATTCAAGTTAAGACCTAGAACAAATTGCAATAGAAACCATTCAAGCGTCAAACGACTTTCATAAATACACAAACAACATGTGAAAAATCTTGTTTCTATGGAGTGGAAGGGTGTTTTTCAAACATTTTTTTCAGATAACAAATTTGAGACATTTTGTCCTCGAACAATTCGTCTGGTGACTTGCTGCGATTTACATGTCTATATATTGTTTAGGATTCATGACCACATGCTTTTGCAGCAGACGACTGTTTCAAATTATAATTTTATACAGGGCACTACGGATGGAGTGGACGACTTTCCGCCGAAACTGCGCGCAATAAGTCCACTGACGAGAAACAATTATTTGCAAAAAGGGCCGGGGATGTCTAAACATCATTCTGATCATACAGCTGGTAAACGGTTGGACAGTGCATGCATGGACCGTTTTTAAAGTAAAGCGAGATCTTTAATTAAATATTATTGATTGAGCGCCTGAAAATGATGTTGGATTTGGTTAAGAAAATTCAGGAATTACTGGGCTCAGGTTGTGAAGCTTACAGTGCATTTTGTTAGTACATGAAAATATGAAACAAAACATCACAAAACACTTCGATCACAAAGAAAAAAAGTTAATGGGCGAGGTTGATGAGAAACAGATGTAGTTCTGTACATGAGCTTTCCATGTTTTTCATAAGTACGGTACAGTAACTTTAAACAGCTAAATTGAGATCATCTTAATTGAGGTACGAAAAGTAATTGAGACATCTGCTTGTACAGTCAAGAGTGAAATGAACTACACCAGATAAGCATACTAGAGTCCCGACAAAAGGATTCTTTGGATTGAACAGACCTCGCGTTAGTATTACTTTAAAAAATGATCTCACTGGCACGGTCCGTCCCCCCCCCCCCCCCCAAGGCTTTGATCTGGGGAAACGTATTATTTGTAGACGTAATACACTTTTTACACTATATATTTCTTTTCTCTAAAGCGCAGAATTCAGCAAAAAAAATAATTTCACTGCAAAATTTTAATCCTGTTAATTTGCCAGGCTTTAGTAAGGTTTTTTTTTGACAATTTTTATCTTATTTATAAGTTATGCCAATGACCTAAATTTAACACAGAAGGAACACACGAATCTCGGATTTCAGATATTTTCCCTAATATTTAAAATTGGACTCTGGCCTATTGGCGTAGACACCTGAAATTTAAATTTAAATGGATCTCTTTGTGTATATCATTTTCTGCCTTTTATTCAAGTAGACCTCTTTATGCAAAGATTTTCTATGAAACAAATGTTTTTTGGGGGGGCACAAAGTGATTTATATTAACCTAAAAATATTTCGGGAAGCACAACAATCTCAAATTTCTTGATTTTGTCAAAAAAATATCCTTTAGTATTGTGCGGCAGTGTTTTAATAATTGGTGGACATAGAAAAGTCGTCTGCTGTGATCAGTCGTGTCTCGCAAAGTCTCATACGTGATGTGAACGGATTTTCTGACGAGTAACGGGCGCAAAAGAAAACATGACGCTCTCCATACGGCTGTTTACGTATTATGAAAAATTAGTAGCGAAAAAGTGAATGAAAACACTTTCCCACTCCTTTGATGAAATTAGATTTTCAGTATGTTAAATAGTGATATTTCCTTAGCATGGTCACATTAAAATAAATTCTATTGCAATTTGTTCTAGGTCAGGCCCTGTTTTGTTCTAAATTGACCGGACTAATGTTCGTATTGCAAACATCTGTTTATAAATGCATACATGTACATGCAATCAAATCACAGAGAATGCAAGTTGGCACCCAGTCTAAACTACTCTTCACGCCTCATACTGTTTTCATGTTTGAATAACTTTTACCCACACCTCAACTTCTGGATCCCAAGCCATAGAAATTGATGAAGACAGATGTAATGTGCCTCATTATGTTAGACTACTGCCGCTTCTCATGTGCAATATGGTTGATGACATCAGTCTTCCTGTCAAAAACACTCATTTGTTCTTTACAAATGAACAAAACAAAAATAAAATGAACACGTAGTGTCCATATTCTGTGATCTGCTAGACCTTGCTTTGGGAAACATTTTGTTGTAAAAAAAATATTGGTGAAATGTGAAGACACTTGGCCTTTTACTTGGACTATTTATGAAGTGTAAAGTGAAGTGAATAAAGCAAAGGCAGGCACAAATGACAAACTTGAGGACTTTCTGCTAAATAATATGGGTGTAATTTACCATGGAATTCTGTCTTCACCATTAAGTGCATACAGTGCTAGTACTGAAGCAAAATGTACGTAAATAAGCTCAACACAATAACGTCGGTTTCTGCAAGAATGCCAAAATACACATGTAATTGAACAAATTGTTCATGCCATCTTTCTTTGTTCATGTAAATGAATGAATGAATTCCGTTGCGAGTACTTCTTGTACATACATGCATGTACATGCACGTGTATACTATAAGCAGGTTGCTTACAGCTAATTCTTTTTCAAATAAATGATGTCTGGGCAAAAAACTAATGGCCAGCATGAAACTGAAAGTGAAGTGAGCCATAACAAATACAAACATGTACACCATTTTGAGGCGGGTCTAATTTTGACGGGAAATACATGTAGTATCTAATTACTAACGTTTTGTGTCGTTTTGGGTCTACTTAGACTTTGTTATGAGCTGTGAAAATGCATTAAAGTGAGATGAAATGGCTATTTTTCTTTCCGCTTTTCTTTATGTTGGGGAACGTTGTTGGGGAGGAATGTCGACCCACTCAAACGCTATTCCACTGCTTCCTATGAAAGTATGAGGCAGTTATTCTTGCAAAAAAACCATTTCTTTGTGTCCATTTAGGGCTGTAGCGTGCACTTAGATACACTCAAGTTGCATCAAACAGTTTTAAAGTTGTTACACTTTAAATAGTGTTAAATACTGTACATGTACATGCATATACATTTGTATAAACACTTCAGGTCTTGTGTGAATACTTTGCAGGTGGTCTGGACCTTGTTGTTTTCATGCCCAGCTTACTGCTATGCTGATTCTCTTTTGTCTTTAAGGCACCAGACGTCATGGCTGTGCTGCTGTTCTTTGAAGGTTCAGTGACATATGAAGATGGTGTCTGCATACTAGATACAGTTTGAAATGTCGAAGTGGTTGAACTCTTGGCACTTCTTTGCACCATTGATTTTAACATCTGGACAATTGCAACAGGAGACACATTCATCCGGAGTAGATCCAAAATAATCCTGCCGATGCAATGATAAAAACAAGCTAAATGTCATGCAACTGACATCAATGAGAATGGACTCGGAACTTTAGATTATGTTAAGAATGGACGAGGCAAAGCCAGTCCACTCTTGCATGAATGTACTGGTATCTACAGTTCCAAGTCTATTCTCCGACTTAAACTATTTCTTAAAGCCACTTAGGATCATTTGCATGTCGAAATTTCATGAAATGGACTGAATAAAGGCTATAGCAGACATTGTTCCACAGAGCTGTTCAAAGTTCTGTGTCCATTGATGCTGGAATAAACACACACACACACACCCAGACTTGTTTCACATACCTAGTGTGGACTTTCCTTTCTTTTCGTGTAGTTAAGGAACACCAGTGGAAAAACTCATTTTTCTCAAACTGTGAAAACTCTTACAACCCAATTTTTTTTCAATGATTCCCTTTAGTGTTTCTCTTCATTCTGCTACAGATAAACCTAACCCAAAAATGCCTCTAAACCTGTTTTCCAGAAATGGGGAAACACTGTGTGGACGTGGGCAAGTCCACACTTCGTCGCTGCTACCTACATTATGTGGACGTCTTTTGTTCGGAAGTCCACACTGCGTATGTAAGACAAGCTCACCCACGCAGTCGTGTTTTTACTATACTCATGAGGACCTGCCCCTTTCCTTCTTTTGTTCCATTTTGTTTGAACTCAACAATAGGCCCGACGCTGCCTGAGGACCTGGGCAAAGTTCTTGCCCCTCTCAAGATGATATGATGTCATGCTTGGGCTATTAGTTTGATCATGGTCTGAGCTTTAAAAGTGACCAAAGTCTATGGCATTTTGGAAAGAAGTCCCCCAAAAGGGGGAGGGGGAGCAGGTAAAAACACAAAGACTTTTCCACTACATGTACTTTGCAGAAAAGCCAACCAGATCAGCTTTTCTGCAAAGTTTGTGGAAAAGCCCATTAAAATTCAACATCATTTGACAAATGTCAGTACAGTATATTTTAGGAGATCCATATTACCTAAAAACAGCAGGGCTTATATCCACCCCTGCTAGACTGCATAGCTCAAACAGATCTTGCTCCTCCCTTGATAATGCATCTTTGGTCCTCTTTCCCTGCACTGCATACTTGTGAGATGAGCCATGTGTTACTTTAATTGAACTCATGGTTAAGATGACAGTACCTAATCAGATGGATGGAATCAATAATCACCAATGAATTAACTTATTCAACCATTCCATTGGGGATGTTACAGAAAAAATTATTTTCAAAATGACAACTTCAAAGTAAGAGACTGCCAGTGTCTAACTCTTTTTAATTAAAGCAGTGTTCCCATTTCCACCTGATGCACTGTGTAGTGTTGCGTCTGACAGGGTTAGGGTTAATAAGGAGAAGGGCGAACTGAATTTCACATGAATATTCCTGTTGGTCAGTTTTATGCAGTGACTAAGTTCAGATTGTTTAAACCATTGCTATGACGTCACACTATTGTTAAAAGTGTGGATTTGGAACTACAAATCTGTTACGCTGGTCACAAAGTGTGGATTCGGAATGAAGAATCTTTAGTAAAGTGTGGATTCGGAATTACGAATCCACACTTTGAACATGTTGGACAATTGTTCTCCATAATGAGCATTAATAGGACCGTATGCGTGAAAATTTCCTTCCGAAATTACCAATGCATCTTCACTGTCAGAGTCATTCTCCGCCGTCACTGCAAAACCCACTTCGAGTCAGAAAGAAATCATCGTCTGAACTATCCATATGTCGAAGGAAGGAGCCGGGAAAAATGTTGCAACCTGACGCCATTTTTTTCTTCATATATCATCTCAATGAAGGTCATTCATTGCAAAAATGATGATAAGGCATGAATCTGGGACTGAAAAATATTTCCAATTTTGTTAGGAAATACTTAGAAAATTTTCTTGACTCTCCATAGACTTTGTAGACAATCGCGGAAGTGGCATCAGGTTGCAACATTTTTCCCAAGTCTTTTCATCTCCTCTCACTGTTAATGCCAATACTTCATTTGACGCAATGGTTTAAGTCAAAGAATACACTCGCAAGTGTGGATTCTTAACTACGAATCCACACTTTCTCGTGTATTCTCCCTAACAGAATTTTTGTTTTTATAAACTCTGACATTTAGTTGGAAAATGGAGCAGGAACCGTGAAAGCAGAGAGGTCATCAGTTGGAGTCTGATTAGACCAGTGGTTGATGCTTTGATCTAATGCAATATTTGGTGTGAAGAAAATATTTGTTTTTGTGAAGTGTTTCACTGTGGTGAAATACTTATGTGTAAACAGGAGGAATTGCATGAGGCAGAGCTGTACAATGTTGGAGTACTTGTATACTCTTACTAGTACACGCATGTACTCGACTTTTAGTACTCGAAAATTATTTGGAGTTTAGACTTTGGCACGAACTCACGCACGGACCGAAAAACCTTTGACCCAGTGCAGAATACGTCACACAAAATCGATCAACGTGCATGTAGTTGGGTCATAAGTGCACGCGCGATACGGAACTAGGCATACGGTCATTCTTTGGCGAATTTTCAAATATTACAGACTCTACAACTTATTTTGATTCAACAAGCATTCGTTGGAAGAGTTTATACAACTGTAGTGTATGAACAAAATATTTGAAATCACACGGTACGAGTGATGTACCGAGGAGAAAATTTATTGTCGATTCGCAGCTGCCGCGATTTTCTACAAACCGTCCAAACTTGTCAAAGTGTGAGACGGAAATCTGCCAAAAGTCCTCTTCTAAAGATTTTATCAAAAGAATCATTGAGTGCGTTCGATTACTTTCCCCAGCTTACTCGCACCTGTCGACGTGAGTAAAGTTTCGTGCAAGAGCTGCTGGAAAGTTGACCTTTGACATGACACATGAGGCGCCTGGCACATTGGCAGCCATGTTTATTGCATGGCCTTATCCCTTATGGGATACTTACCCAAGTAACTGGCTCGGCGAGTCGGTTACTGGGGCCAGGCTGGAGTAAGCGCAATAAGTCACGTGAGAGGTAAATCGAACGCTGTCACGCTTGCACAAGTAAGTGCAGGGGAAGTACTCAAGTCTATCAAGAAGTTTAAATTTTCCTTTTCAAAATGCACCTTATCAGAAAAAAAATTATTGAAGGCTAATCATAAAGAGGTAGGTTTTTATTTGAAGCGCTCCGGAACTAGGAAAAATCCGGAACTACTGTACCACTACTAGTCCCATAAGAAAATGACTACCTCTGTATATTCAGTCACACATCCCACATATGGCCTGTGCGCCGATGGTTCCGTTGCTAGGGGAGCCGAAAATCAATTTAAGATCATAATATTTTGTCAGCAGAAAAATCAACTGTCTGGTACAGTCCTACACTGTGATACCTAGCCCCACTAGTGTGGCTGCGGTATGCTGCGCTGAACCTCTGGCCACACACCAAGTTATCGCACACTACTGAGGAGGTTCTCAAAAAATTACACAAATTTTCTTACATATGATTGTATTTAATGATGTCTCAGCTCTTCACTTCTGGGATGCTTAGGTGTAATAATATCCAATTTTCCGAGAAATTTTTTAATCTTTCTGGAGCCCATATGCACGCAAAAATCGTCTGTTGATGGCAGCCATTTTGAATGTACGAAGCAATGACCCCAAAGCTGTGATGTCGCGCTTATGCAAATCAATCTTGTTGCTCAACAGGCGCGTGAGTTGCGATGCGACGGCTGTTTCTTGTACAATCTCTCAACCGATAGTATTATAGTGCGCAGCCATTAAGTATGGGCGAATCAATTGTACAAGAAACAGCCGACGCATCGCAACTTGCTTCACCAGTTTGCATCCTTCTCACACCTCACCGCACCCATCCTTATAACATATCATCATCGTTGGAATCCCTCATTCTCCTGACGACGGGCAGAGCATACTGTTCCAAACATTGAGTCCCTCTGGTTCTTTTCAAAACCACACATATCCTTGTGTGACCATTTTTCGCGCACAGTACTTTGACCGATTTTTTTTCTTGCATAAACTAAACCCTACATAGTTGGTTATATTTTTAAGAACATGGACAAATATAGTTGAAATGACTCCTCCATCAAAAACATAACAAAACCACCCTTCTGTAACAATTTTCTCCGGCATTCATTGCTCATTCTAATACACCTGCGATCAATCAATCAATTATACAGGCGCGCGCGCCTAGCACGCGGTCGACCAATACCGTGGCCGATCGCACCGCCTCGACACATGGTTGCATGATACACATCATTTCAATAAAAACAAACATAGGTATTGGCCTACTTTTTGGGTACTTTAAACATTACGATTAGGTCTTATTCCGACAGAAATATATTTTAAGGCATATTCATTCCAACAAACAACTCGGTACCGAAATCTGCATCTTGGCGAAACAGATCGTAAAATAAAAACGCGATATAAGGCGCACGTCGTATTTCGTGCTCCTTAATTCTGATTACGCCCTCTGTTGTTTAGTGAAAGTCGACCGAAAATGTCTTTCACGTTTCGGGGTTGTACAGCGACACTGAGTGGAAATTCGTAGCGATGTTTGTATTAGTTTTCTTGGCCATCAATAATGTGACGTTTTGTATCTAGTCGGTACAGCAATAATTTACACTCTCTTTGATTTCTTTCAAATTACTTCTCGGAAAAGCTTTTGATTTCTGCATAACTGCATCGAGAAGAAAGGCAATGTAACGATGGATCATCGACGGTGATTTGACGTCGGTCCGTGTTGTGTTAAAAAAGATACGAGCCGAGAAAGTTGGTTGCCCGAATATTGGGCAGTGCGAATTTGGGGCACCGGACGATACTCACAAAAGAGATTTATTCACATGCATGGTGCTACCGCAAACTTATCTTGGCTTAGTATCTTTCCACCATGCAAACCTTCAGATTTTTTTTCGATGTCATCATGTGATGCATGCATTTACATAAATAACAAAACAAAATGGACGACAGCCGTTGGAACTGGCGTTTTTTTACGGACAAGCCACCGAAATCGTCAAGATTTTTCACATTTGTTTTTTTGTGTGGTCTGTTTCAAGTCGATCATTAGCTTTGTGAATGACTGCTGAATGTATGAGGTATGTAAATGAAATCTGGGGTGTGGGGTGGGATATTAGAGGTGAAAATCGACAATTTTTGAGAGGCCATTATTTTAGGGTCAACCGCTACGGTATCAGGTCAACTCGGACCCAAACCAAGTCGGACCCATGCCAACTCGGACCCACGCCAACTCGGACCCATGCCAACTCGGACCCACTACCAACTCGGACCCACTACCAACTCGCACCCACTACCAACTCGGACCCAAGCATGACCAACTCAGACCCAACAATGACTCAATCATTAGTTTCAGAGATTATATCTATAGGTTATCTTAATGTGACATTGTTATAGAGTGAAGATATTCTGCAATTATATTGGGCAGAATGGGGCTTTTAGTTTTGTCGTTTTCTTTTATTGCCGCTGTGTGGAGCGGTATTTTATGATGCATACAGTATACTGTTGCTAAACGCTTATCGTTTTGGACGTCATGAAACTAATGTGCTTAGCTTTTTCCAAGAGATATTAGTAGCGTATAGTATAGGTTAGGCATTTCGCATGTCATTTGTTGATATATACATGCTTTTTCAAAATCTTGATTTTCTTTTCCAAACGAAATTCAAAGGATTATAATTTTCAGTAGGAAATAAATTGCTGGAACAGTGTACATTATACGCATGACATCGATAACCATGACGTCGCATGAGACGTCGCATGAGCCGGCCAATGATAGTGCAATACGTCATTATGAATATTTATTTTCTCATGAATATTTAGTTTATTTCAATGGATACTTCAAATACGTCCAAAGATTGATCATTGCAACAGCGATCGTGCGCGGCCTAGCGGTTAAGAGACTCGTGTATCAAGCAAGCGTCCGAGGTTCGAATCTCGATGAAGTGAGCGACTGATTGATAAATAGAAATTAAGGAAAGGAGGGGGTGAGAGTAGAGGAGGGAAAGTGGAGGGAATAACCATAAAAGAGGTAACTTTTGGCGCTAGAAAATTAATTGAAAAAAGTGGTGTCCGGTTGGCAGAATTTTTCCGGTTTTTAAAATAGAGATTAGAACAGACTTCGTTTTATATCTTATTTATTTTATTTATTGAATTATAATATTTACTTATATTTATTGAGTTAATAATGTTATGTTTGAAAGAGTTTATTATGGAATCAATGCCATACTTTTTTTTTTCTATGAATATCTGTTCTGAATTTGTATATTTTGTTACTTTTGTTGATTAAAAATGAAATAAATTGCTGTTAATGGAGCAAGATGGCGTGAGCGATGTCAATTAATATGTTTTAATGAAAATAAATAATTGGTGAAACTTTCAAAGCGCAATATGTTTTAATGGAAACAAATAATAATAAATGAATAATTACACCTTTAAAGCGCATTTCAAAATAGCATTTCAATGCGCTTTACAACAACAAAAATGTTATTGTAACTGCTGCAAACACATAATTTTCCTTACAATTACAATGAAAATGTATACTGAACAGCATCATTGTAAACAGATGAGAAGTGGACAAACTTTATGAAATGCCGCATGATTGAAAACGATGGGTCCGAGTTGGTCATGCATGGGTCCGAGTTGGTCGTGGGTCCGAGTTGGTAGTGGGTCCGAGTTGGCGTGGGTCCGAGTTGGTAGTGGGTCCGAATTGGCATGGGTCCGAGTTGGCTTGGGTCCGAGTTGGATCGAAACCCTTGCTACCACACTCTCATGACTAGGGAGTAGGGTCATGTAGGCAGTGGTAGGTTTAGCCCCATAAATGTGGCCTATTTACTGGACTGCCTCCGTAAACATAGGCCACACATCCACATGTACAAAAATCGTGTCGACGGAGCCAAATTTTGATTTTCACATTTAGGCTTAGTTTGTAGGGTTTTTTTGCTTTAGAAGCATACTCACCCTCTTTACAGGCTAATCAGAAAGTGCTGCCTTTTTCAGATGTCTAATTTTTGTGAAATTTCATGTTGAAATTTTGATACACAAACGTGTAAAAATGAATCTGGAAATTTCACGAAAAATATACATCTGAAAAAGGCAGCACTTTCTGATTAGCCTATAAAGAGGGTGAGTATGCTTCTAAAGCAAAAAAAACCTACAAACTAAGCCTAAATGTGAAAATCAAAATTTGGCTCCGTCGACACGATTTTTGTATAGTCGGACTCCCTATTATCGCGGCATCCCTATTATCGCGGCATGGGAAATTTCTCTTTTTACAGTGTCAAAACTCCTTCAAGTGGCGATTTTTATCCAGTTCACCAGTCATCAAGGATTTTCTACCGAGTTGTATAAAAAGGACGATTAAAAAATGTTGTGTCTTTCGGGACTTTTAACGATTTTAATAAATATTAACGGTTTCCAAAACTTGCAAAATTTTCCCTCACCGTGTCTGCTAAAAGGTACCGTTTATATTTTAACATAAATCTTTAATTGCGCTCTGTCCATGCATGGAGGAATAAAATGAGAGTTCCATTGTCTGGTTCCCATTCTTCAGCTGCAAATGTAAAATGAAGTCGAACGACGATATTTGCAGCGCGAAATCGTAACAACTTTTACGGGATCAAAATAAGCACCGCGCGTTAGCGAAAATAAAACGACACACCGTGTAAAGTGAATGGCGCCCTCAATCGCCGATCAGTAGACTTGCCTCAGGGATTTGTGTTCTCCTTTCGGGGGAAGGGCAGGGTCTTAAGAAATCATCCTGCAGACATCTTGTCTTTAATCAACTTGAACGTTACAGGGAAAATATCAGACTTTATTCAGGGGGTGTTTTGGTCAAACATAAACTATGAACAAAAAAGTTGGGATCATTATAAAAACCACTTCCCGCATACCGCGATAATAGGGAGTCCACCTCCGTTCGCACACGCCGCGCATGTCTATTTTCACAGGCATCGTACACGGAATAAACCACACCACCCGTCAGATTTTTTTATATTAATTTAAAAAGGAAGAGTTATACTACACATAAGACAGGACAATTCTGGAAGGTTAGTGGGCAATCTCTATTGCGAACGAGAAACGTGATAAGTACCGCGATAATACGGCGTTCCATACTACATGTGGATGTGTGGCCTATGTTTACGGAGGCAGAAGCGTCCAGTAAATAGGCCACATTTATGGGGCTATGGTAGGTTATGTCTCCAGCGCTACATGTGAATGAATATGAGCATGTCAGCTGGAGTTGCTCAAGCTATTCATAATCATGATGGCAGATACTTACTTGGTGTTTAGCCAAATGAATTTCGTACTCCAGACGTCAGTCTAGTTATCCTAATTTGCAGGGGGAAATTTTGAGCGTTTGCTCGAGCTGATTCATCGAAAGCTAGCTGCCATGTAGAGGTCATGGGTCATAGTTTTTCCGCGATAAAGCCCCGCTGACCGTAAGATCATGGCCAAATTCTGCTAAATGCGCTTGAAAATCTGTCGGATTTATCAAAAATCCGTCAAATTCCCAAGAAATACTCGAAATACACTTCAAACACTAAAAATCACATGCAGATGTTGTAGTATTGCCTTAATGCAAGGGTTTGTTTGAAAAGATAAAAACACTGTATTAAAGCATGGGAATATACAACATTTGCAAACATCGAAAAATAAAACTACTTTTTACAAAATACCTTACTAGGATGTTGGGAAGTGCAGTCTAAAGCATCTTGTAATGGTCGCCTGGATGGAGTGAAGTCATTTTCACAAATGTTGTATATATTTCCAACGGTGGTCAGCGGACCACCTTTTTCAACTAGTGCTCCAAATTTACCATTTTTTTTCAGTCAAAACTTTGTTTGCTAATGGTTCATGAATGTTCATGAATGGGTGCAGGCCAGCTAGACTCGTTCCCTTACCTTACAATTTTCTAGCATTTATAAATTATTCATAAATACCTCAGACAGTTTAGCCATTCCTATTGGTCGAGAGCCCGTCACGTGGCCGGTATTAAACGGATGATAAAGACATGGCTAGCTGGTCTTAAACACTTTTCCAGTGTCACAACAAAATGTGGACTCCTAAAAATCCAGTGCCTCTTAACGTTTCATTGGTTGAACGTTCACAATCCTCACGTAGGCATGCGCAACACTACAAGCGAGACAGAATTTTATAGTTCTAAATTCAAAACGCAACACCCCAGGTGCGTTCTGCGTGACATCGCGCAGAACATGCTAGCGCGCGTCAATCTCCATGAAAGGGTTGTTTACATCTTACTCGCCAGATGAACACTCCATTATTTTGCTAGAGGGATGTTTCAAAAAGCATGAAGTGAACTTGTTGAACAAAATCGGGATTTTTTGAACGAATTATTTGATATTTTTTTACGGATAAGGTATTTATGAATGGGAATAAATATGTGCTCGGTCGGTATTTATCACTCTGTTTAATACCGCTTAGAGTCTGGGTGCTGATAATTACCCTCGCCTCCGGCTCGGGTAATTATCAGCACCCAGACTCTAAGCGGTATTAAACGAGTGATAAAAACCTCCGGAGCACACATTTATTCCCTTATTATTATTATTATTATTTATTCAGCCAACGAATGAACAAAAGTACAATGACAAAGCAAAGATATATCAACAAGTAAACAAAATTGGAAATTGAAAAAGTATGACCAGACAAGACTGAAGGATGCGAGAAGGAATGGGTCGAGGGGGGAGGGAAGAGGGGGGAGGGAAGGGAAGGGAGGGTGGACAGTTTGGCAGGGGAGAGAAGCCTAGACGGAGGGACAGAAAACAAGGACAATATAACATTCCAAACCGGCCAGGTAACAAAAGTGTACTTAAACACTGTAGCCCTAAGGCCTGCCTACCCATAAATTGATCCATTTCATCTTTCGTGGAGTCAGGGAACCAGACTACTTGAACATTTTTGCTTTTCTTGTTTTTTCCAGCATTTCCGAACACAAAACGTCAAAAATGTCAGTGTAACAAAATTTGATAAATTATACAAACCCCTCAAATAGTTCATTTCTGAAAATTACAACAAAAGCCACTGATGTACATTCCCTTTAAAACAAATGTACCATTTAAAAAAAAAATGTTTCTGTTTTTCCTGTCAAAATTAAAATCCACTCTGTCAAATTTTTTTTTACAAAAAATCTATCAAAGTCAGCCGGAAATCGGCCGAAACGGTCACCAATGGGAGGAACATCGCGAGGTAAAATATGGACTTTTCCATTTCACGAGGCGAAGCCGAGTGAACTGAAAAAGTCCAGATTTTACCAAGCGATAATCTTCCTCCCATTTCACAATTTAAAGCCACTCAATATTTGTTTTCAATAACGGACTTATAGATCCTTTTCATTTGATATATTTGAACTTTTATTTAAATACAAAATTGGTAAAAACTTTTTTTATCTTCAAACCACCCCTTTACGAAAATGTTTGAACCCACCCCGCTTGGCTCTTTTAGAATAAAGACAACCTCGTCCCCAGGGTGTCGAGCAGTACGCGCCCACCACTACCTGCTCAACGCGGTTGGAAATAGAGTAAGCATTGGGGACGAGGTTGAGATAAAGAATAAAACAACCTCGTGCCCCGTGGGACGATCTTGCAGCGCCATGTTGTTTCCCATCATGCCTTGCGCGATCGTAAGGAACGAGCACGCGCCCCCTGGAGTCGAGGCTGAGAATAAAAAGACGGCAGCGCACGTGCATACGTACGGAGGCCCGTTCGTGCCAGATTTTTACGAAAGCCCTGTAGTGCCATCAAGTATATATTTTGTCCAAGTTCGTTTTTATGAGATATATTTTCTCGAAGTTCGTTTTTATGAACTTTGGGAAAAATATATCTCATAAAAACGAAATTGGACAAAAGATATACTTGATGGCACTACAGGGCTTTCGTAGATTTTAAAGTGAAAAAATATTTTTATTGCGAAATAACGCAATACTTATTGCGAAATAACGCAATAGTTTTGCGAAATAACGCAATATTTATTGCGAACGCAATACTGTCGTGTACAAACTTCACCCGGATGTTCAGTTTGGCCTTTATTCAGTGGCGTAGCCAGGAATTTTTCAGTGGGGGGCGCTGGGGGGGGGGGGGGGGGCTGGAACATTTCATGGAGGGGCGTCATGTAGGGGCGTCAATCGCTTCTCAAAAGTGGGCCGCGGGGGGGGGGGGACATACCTTGATCAGAACTGATAGGAGCGCGAAGCGCGAAGCCCTTACGGCGTGGGGGTTCGGGGCCCGCTTAAGGGCCCCGAAAAAAATGGATTCTAGATGTTCTGTGGTGTGATCTGAAGCAATTTCTTACCACTTTCCTCCATGCTTTAACTAATATTTTCTTAGCAAAAGATAATATTTGAACATCGTTTTCGAGGTTGGAGTCATTGAATCAGCTATCGGTATTCTGAGTTATAGGCGTGGGGTTCGGGCCCCGAAAAAAAAATGGATTCTCGATGCTCTGTGGTGTGATCTGAGGCAATTTCTTACCACTTTAACCAATAATTTTCTTAGCACAAAAGATACTAATTTAAACATAATTTTCGAGGTTTTCTCAGCTAAAGGCATAAGAACATTTTTTAAACATTGTTTTCGAGGTTGGAGTCATTGAACCAGCTACCAGAATTCTGAACTATAGGCGTGGGGTTCGGGGACCGCTTAAGGGCCCCGAAAAATTTTGGATTCTAAATGCTCTGTGGTGCTATCTGAGGCAATTTCTGACCCCTTTAACCAATATTTTCTAAGCAAAAGATACATTGTAGTACATAATAGGGCCCTGTAAATGAGACACGAGTTCAAAAATCAGGGGGGGGGGACATTTGATATTGTGTCCCCCACCCTTCAAAAAGTAGGGGGGGGGGGGACCAGTCCCCCTGTCCCCCCAGGATTGACGCCCATGGCATCATGTAGATCAATGATAATTTTTTTAGAAACTCAAAATCTCAGTGGGGGAGACTGGGGGGGGGGGCGACAAAGTTGGGGGGGCGACTGGGGGCTGTCCCCCCCCCCCCCCCCCCCGTGGCTACGCCACTGATTTCAAGGAATTTTAATTGGTCTATTATTATTATTTAGCTATATGAATGGAGGAAAAAGTTTGTGCGTGGCCGATTCGCGTGATATCGCTGACTGAAACTGTGTGACCCACGGACCACCTGTCTATTTGCAGTGCAGTGGGTGTTAATACGCATTATGCGCTATGTCACGCCGGTTGTCAGCTTACTGGTCCGCGGTCGCCGTTCGGTCGAAGGGTCGTTTCTCAGTGGTCATCATGTGGATCATTCGCGACTATTTAGATTTAGATCAATGATAATTTTTTTAGAAACTCAAAATCTCAGTTGGGGGGGGGGGGCGACTGGGGGGCAACAAGGTTTCATGGGGGGGGGGCGGTCGCCCCCCCCCGGTGGCTACGCCACCGCCTTATTTTGTCCATTGTTCTTGAAGTTCCTGTCCGTCATTGCGTTTTTTATCCGTTGTGCTCTTGTCGTGGAACGGTTTTGCTTGAAAGGAGCGGGGTGCTGAAAAACAGAAGGCCTATGTTTGATCTTTTCAGAAAACGTTGCCATAATAGACATTTCTGTGGCATTTTTGCCAGGGGGAAGTAACAACAAGTTTATAGGGCTTATCTTTTCACAACCCCCCCCCCTATCGAATCAAAATGGCCACCAAGCACAAACGTGTGCTGACAGAAAGAACTGAATGATTCCCTCGCAACTACAAGGGAAATTGTACTGATATAATGATACGTTTTGAGGAATGGTTGTTTGGGTTGGGGGATGCATCAATAATACGCTCAATATTCCACCACGCTGAAGAAAACTAATACATTTAAACGAATGATAATTACATAAGAATGATTTTCCAACTTTAAAATGTTTTCCCGCAATAACCCCCTCCCAAAATTACATAACCGGTCCATTCAATTTTAACTGATAAAAGGATGCCTTGCATCAAGAATCACTAAAACCGTATATTGATATGAATTAGAAACGTGTTTTTTTAAGCTTGTTAAAGAACTGAACGAATTTTTAAAAGTTTTTAAAACAGAACTGTACTTTTAAGTCTCCATTTGTTCTTTAAGCTAAAACGTGTTTTATGGGGGTCATTCCGTCTGGAAAAATGCCAACTGGGTAGAAAATCCCAATGTTCCCTAAGATTCGTGAAATAACAATTTTGTTACAACTCGTTATACAATCTAGTCAATGCTTTAGGCCCCCCCCCCAAAAAAAGTCTCCGGTTTCTGGTATGCGCGCGCGTCGGCGTAGCCATGCGCGTCGGCAAAAAGAAAAAGTTTTTTTTTCAATGAAAGATGATGTCTCAAAACCGCCAAACTCACGTGTTTTTAGATTGGGTTATGGTCGAGAATAAGCTTTATGTGGCCTCTCTGGACTCCCATATATTTGCACTAAGTTTAGTCGGGCACCATTTGCAGTCATCAGCCGACATATGAAGCAAAAAAAAATCAGGTTAAAAAAAAAAAGGCCGCGTCGCCGCACCACTTTTTGGGCAAGCTCCATACCAGAAACCGGAGACTTTTTTGTTTGGCCTAATGAATCTGTGGTTTGTTAATCGTTTCTTCCAATGTATATGGCTAATAACATGGGCTTAATTGGGTAAATTGAATTATTTGAAACAAACAATAACACACCACAAAATTGGCAATCAGATTCAAGGGAATATGCTGAACAATTTAATTCAAACAAATATTTTTAAACATATCCTTTAAAATCAAACAATTAATATCAAGTTTAATTTACACCAGTGGCGTAGCCCCCCCCCCCCAGCACCCCCCTCCCCCCCCCCCCCCCCCCCCCCCACTGAAAAATTCCTGACTACGCCACTGCTTTACACATCCAGACACGTATTCAGAAATGTGCAACTTGTCTCACTGAATAGTCTGATAATGTAGCCCTATCTGCGATTGGTACATGCATCAAGCTGCCCATTCTGGTTGGAGCAGGTGAAGGATGTGACTTTGCTTTTAACTTTGTAACTAAAAAATGTTTAAACGTCTAGCCATTTCACAAAGGCTTACGTCTACCCATAATCTCTGCAGATTGGCGTGACTGACTGACATGATACATCAACAATGATTGACATAATAGATAGAGGGCTGTCACTTAAAAAAGTAAAAATTTGACTACATGTACATCAAATGTACTTAAGCACTGCGGTGCCTTCAAGGTTTTATAAATTAACCAGGTTTGAAAACATCGTTAAATGCATGTTTAACTTCAAAGGAAGATTGCTTGAACAAAGAACCTTTTTATATTTCGTGTTTCATTTCAACATTTTGAAAATTTGTAAAAGGAATTAGATTTTTGTTTCATGTAAACGTTTACATCGTCACATCCAATAGAGCAGGTCTCCACACTACCATGACATAAATGCTGGCTAATACTCTACTCCTGTAAACATAAGAATTTGTACTGCAACACTTCAACCATAGATTCTGCCTCTTTATAAACCTTCTTGATAAACTGCCGTTGCATTCTGAGTATTGATGAACGATCTGTTTAAAGGTCTGCCCATGGTGTTGTGGGATCCTATATCCATGCTCAGGTGAGGCATCTTTGCTACATCAGTCATTTGAAACATTCCCATGTAAAATTAGCAGGGAAGCTCATGGCATTAGTCACGGCCTGGAATTTGAAGGGTACATCATCTAATTAGGCTCCATACAGATGACCTTGTGAAGGTAGTTGTACTGTACCAATGCGTAGATTGATAGGATCAAGTATCTGTAAATACAGCACTAATGTTGTCACACACACACACACACCCAGACCTATATGGGTGCACACTTACTTGCAAACGGCACATTGTAGCTGGCAATACTGCTTGCAATGATTCCACTTAGTATTTAATGATATTCTACGAGTAACGACATACTAAACTTTACAATAGTAAAGAGGGCATTACTATTAAAAGAAAACTTTTGGAGGCACAACTGTTCACAAAGTAATCAATCAAAACTTATAAAATGATCTAGCATATTAACCACATTTGTTTTTAAGACGAACATGCAGTTTGGTTCATGTTCTACGTCCAATCAGTGGTCTCACTCGTTTTTTTATTTTGGATGGGGGAAATACTATTTTTTTTGACAATGTTAATGGTGAGGAAAATTGTAAAATTGGAGAAGTGAACTTGAGTATTATTTTCTAGCAGCAAATGGTTTTCCAGTGTGAGGCAATTCTCATGTCTCCCTGTTAGCAAGGGGGGGGGGCACAGGGAGCACCCTTAGGTATGACAGTAAGATTAGAACAGTAACATTGTAACTGTTCTAATTTCTAACTTGTGCCATCAGTCATGCATTATGCATGTAGTCATCAGGAAATGCACATGAAGTCATGGCATCACACATATCATTCAGTAACCACTAAAACCTCTGGGTATGATCTTAATGTACAACAGCTAATGCTGTCTGTCAGTCTGAATCCTCCTCATCAGTATCTTCGCACAATACCACAGCTGAAGACTTCTGGGCAGTCTCCAATGACTGGCTCAGCTGTTGAGATGCTCCAAAGAACATTGACTTGAACTATTGGTAAAACAAGATGCAAAAAGAGCATTCTAAGTTTAGCTTAAAAAAGTTCAAATTAAAAAAATCCAATTCAAAGTTAAAAAAAAACAACTTACTTGCGAATAATTGTCCTATTCTTCAACGCTCCTTACTTCCCGACTCCAGCAATCTAATGCTGCGCACACCTTGATTATACTCCTCGTCGATTTTGATCAATTTAGATCTCTGTTTCTTTTATTCTTTCAAAAATGACAAAGAAACCGAAGAAAACCCAACTTCTTTTTTTAATCCTCCGTTCGAAAGTGTACACAATTCGAATGCGAATTTGTGTTCTTTACCCTTTTCAAAAAACGCGCGCGCGGACGCACGTTCGTACGCGATGTCCTATCCAGTCTGTGTATATGGAGATCAATGGGCTAGCCCGTTACGTCATTACACCGGGACTTCCACCAGAGACCCACTCGCCAGCTCGGGTACTCGTGTATGACACCGGAGCAGACACGAGAATCACGTGATGGCTAAACGAACGCTCTCGTGTAAGGGAAACTTACACGTGTAAGCTAATCGAACGCACCCATTGCTAGCTGGTCTTAAACACTTTTCCAGTGTCACAACAAAATGTGGACTCCTAAAAATCCAGTGCCTCTTAACGTTTCATTGGTTGAACGTTCACAATCCTCACGTAGGCATGCGCAACACTACAAGCGAGACAGAATTTTATAGTTCTAAATTCAAAACGCAACACCCCAGGTGCGTTCTGCGTGACATCGCGCAGAACATGCTAGCGCGCGTCAATCTCCATGAAAGGGTTGTTTACATCTTACTCGCCAGATGAACACTCCATTATTTTGCTAGAGGGATGTTTCAAAAAGCATGAAGTGAACTTGTTGAACAAAATCGGGATTTTTTGAACGAATTATTTGATATTTTTTTACGGATAAGGTATTTATGAATGGGAATAAATATGTGCTCGGTCGGTATTTATCACTCTGTTTAATACCGCTTAGAGTCTGGGTGCTGATAAAAATGTCCCGAAAAAAATGGATTCTAGATGTTCTGTGGTGTGATCTGAAGCAATTTCTTACCACTTTCCTCCATGCTTTAACTAATATTTTCTTAGCAAAAGATAAATATTTGAACATCGTTTTCGAGGTTGGAGTCATTGAATCAGCTATCGGTATTCTGAGTTATAGGCGTGGGGTTCGGGCCCCGAAAAAAAAATGGATTCTCGATGCTCTGTGGTGTGATCTGAGGCAATTTCTTACCACTTTAACCAATAATTTTCTTAGCACAAAAGATACTAATTTAAACATAATTTTCGAGGTTTTCTCAGCTAAAGGCATAAGAACATTTTTTAAACATTGTTTTCGAGGTTGGAGTCATTGAACCAGCTACCAGAATTCTGAACTATAGGCGTGGGGTTCGGGGACCGCTTAAGGGCCCCGAAAAATTTTGGATTCTAAATGCTCTGTGGTGCTATCTGAGGCAATTTCTGACCCCTTTAACCAATATTTTCTAAGCAAAAGATACATTGTAGTACATAATAGGGCCCTGTAAATGAGACACGAGTTCAAAAATCGGGGGGGGGGGACATTTGATATTGTGTCCCCCACCCTTCAAAAAGTAGGGGGGGGACCAGTCCCCCTGTCCCCCCAGGATTGACGCCCATGGCATCATGTAGATCAATGATAATTTTTTTAGAAACTCAAAATCTCAGTGGGGGAGACTGGGGGGGGGGGGGGCGACAAAGTTGGGGGGGCGACTGGGGGCTGTCCCCCCCCCCCCCCCCGTGGCTACGCCACTGATTTCAAGGAATTTTAATTGGTCTATTATTATTATTTAGCTTATATGAATGGAGGAAAAAGTTTGTGCGTGGCCGATTCGCGTGATATCGCTGACTGAAACTGTGTGACCCACGGACCACCTGTCTATTTGCAGTGCAGTGGGTGTTAATACGCATTATGCGCTATGTCACGCCGGTTGTCAGCTTACTGGTCCGCGGTCGCCGTTCGGTCGAAGGGTCGTTTCTCAGTGGTCATCATGTGGATCATTCGCGACTATTTAGATTTAGATCAATGATAATTTTTTTAGAAACTCAAAATCTCAGTTGGGGGGGGGGGGCGACTGGGGGGCAACAAGGTTTCATGGGGGGGGGGGGCGGTCGCCCCCCCCCGGTGGCTACGCCACCGCCTTATTTTGTCCATTGTTCTTGAAGTTCCTGTCCGTCATTGCGTTTTTTATCCGTTGTGCTCTTGTCGTGGAACGGTTTTGCTTGAAAGGAGCGGGGTGCTGAAAAACAGAAGGCCTATGTTTGATCTTTTCAGAAAACGTTGCCATAATAGACATTTCTGTGGCATTTTTGCCAGGGGGAAGTAACAACAAGTTTATAGGGCTTATCTTTTCACAACCCCCCCCCCCCTATCGAATCAAAATGGCCACCAAGCACAAACGTGTGCTGACAGAAAGAACTGAATGATTCCCTCGCAACTACAAGGGAAATTGTACTGATATAATGATACGTTTTGAGGAATGGGTGTTTGGGTTGGGGGATGCATCAATAATACGCTCAATATTCCACCACGCTGAAGAAAACTAATACATTTAAACGAATGATAATTACATAAGAATGATTTTCCAACTTTAAAATGTTTTCCCCGCAATAACCCCCTCCCAAAATTACATAACCGGTCCATTCAATTTTAACTGATAAAAGGATGCCTTGCATCAAGAATCACTAAAACCGTATATTGATATGAATTAGAAACGTGTTTTTTTTAAGCTTGTTAAAGAACTGAACGAATTTTTAAAAGTTTTTAAAACAGAACTGTACTTTTAAGTCTCCATTTGTTCTTTAAGCTAAAACGTGTTTTATGGGGGTCATTCCGTCTGGAAAAATGCCAACTGGGTAGAAAATCCCAATGTTCCCTAAGATTCGTGAAATAACAATTTTGTTACAACTCGTTATACAATCTAGTCAATGCTTTAGGCCCCCCCCCCAAAAAAAGTCTCCGGTTTCTGGTATGCGCGCGCGTCGGCGTAGCCATGCGCGTCGGCAAAAAGAAAAAGTTTTTTTTTCAATGAAAGATGATGTCTCAAAACCGCCAAACTCACGTGTTTTTAGATTGGGTTATGGTCGAGAATAAGCTTTATGTGGCCTCTCTGGACTCCCATATATTTGCACTAAGTTTAGTCGGGCACCATTTGCAGTCATCAGCCGACATATGAAGCAAAAAAAAATCAGGTTAAAAAAAAAAAGGCCGCGTCGCCGCACCACTTTTTGGGCAAGCTCCATACCAGAAACCGGAGACTTTTTTGTTTGGCCTAATGAATCTGTGGTTTGTTAATCGTTTCTTCCAATGTATATGGCTAATAACATGGGCTTAATTGGGTAAATTGAATTATTTGAAACAAACAATAACACACCACAAAATTGGCAATCAGATTCAAGGGAATATGCTGAACAATTTAATTTCAAACAAATATTTTTAAACATATCCTTTAAAATCAAACAATTTAATATCAAGTTTAATTTACACCAGTGGCGTAGCCCCCCCCCCCAGCACCCCCCTCCCCCCCCCCCCCCACTGAAAAATTCCTGACTACGCCACTGCTTTACACATCCAGACACGTATTCAGAAATGTGCAACTTGTCTCACTGAATAGTCTGATAATGTAGCCCTATCTGCGATTGGTACATGCATCAAGCTGCCCATTCTGGTTGGAGCAGGTGAAGGATGTGACTTTGCTTTTAACTTTGTAACTAAAAAATGTTTAAACGTCTAGCCATTTCACAAAGGCTTACGTCTACCCATAATCTCTGCAGATTGGCGTGACTGACTGACATGATACATCAACAATGATTGACATAATAGATAGAGGGCTGTCACTTAAAAAAGTAAAAATTTGACTACATGTACATCAAATGTACTTAAGCACTGCGGTGCCTTCAAGGTTTTATAAATTAACCAGGTTTGAAAACATCGTTAAATGCATGTTTAACTTCAAAGGAAGATTGCTTGAACAAAGAACCCCTTTTTATATTTCGTGTTTCATTTCAACATTTTTGAAAATTTGTAAAAGGAATTAGATTTTTGTTTCATGTAAACGTTTACATCGTCACATCCAATAGAGCAGGTCTCCACACTACCATGACATAAATGCTGGCTAATACTCTACTCCTGTAAACATAAGAATTTGTACTGCAACACTTCAACCATAGATTCTGCCTCTTTATAAACCTTCTTGATAAACTGCCGTTGCATTCTGAGTATTGATGAACGATCTGTTTAAAGGTCTGCCCATGGTGTTGTGGGATCCTATATCCATGCTCAGGTGAGGCATCTTTGCTACATCAGTCATTTGAAACATTCCCATGTAAAATTAGCAGGGAAGCTCATGGCATTAGTCACGGCCTGGAATTTGAAGGGTACATCATCTAATTAGGCTCCATACAGATGACCTTGTGAAGGTAGTTGTACTGTACCAATGCGTAGATTGATAGGATCAAGTATCTGTAAATACAGCACTAATGTTGTCACACACACACACACACCCAGACCTATATGGGTGCACACTTACTTGCAAACGGCACATTGTAGCTGGCAATACTGCTTGCAATGATTCCACTTAGTATTTAATGATATTCTACGAGTAACGACATACTAAACTTTACAATAGTAAAGAGGGCATTACTATTAAAAGAAAACTTTTGGAGGCACAACTGTTCACAAAGTAATCAATCAAAACTTATAAAATGATCTAGCATATTAACCACATTTGTTTTTAAGACGAACATGCAGTTTGGTTCATGTTCTACGTCCAATCAGTGGTCTCACTCGTTTTTTTATTTTGGATGGGGGAAATACTATTTTTTTTTGACAATGTTAATGGTGAGGAAAATTGTAAAATTGGAGAAGTGAACTTGAGTATTATTTTCTAGCAGCAAATGGTTTTCCAGTGTGAGGCAATTCTCATGTCTCCCTGTTAGCAAGGGGGGGGGGGGCACAGGGAGCACCCTTAGGTATGACAGTAAGATTAGAACAGTAACATTGTAACTGTTCTAATTTCTAACTTGTGCCATCAGTCATGCATTATGCATGTAGTCATCAGGAAATGCACATGAAGTCATGGCATCACACATATCATTCAGTAACCACTAAAACCTCTGGGTATGATCTTAATGTACAACAGCTAATGCTGTCTGTCAGTCTGAATCCTCCTCATCAGTATCTTCGCACAATACCACAGCTGAAGACTTCTGGGCAGTCTCCAATGACTGGCTCAGCTGTTGAGATGCTCCAAAGAACATTGACTTGAACTATTGGTAAAACAAGATGCAAAAAGAGCATTCTAAGTTTAGCTTAAAAAAGTTCAAATTAAAAAAATCCAATTCAAAGTTTCAATACATCAGCGATGCAAACGTGACAATTCCTAGACATGTGGCATGCATAGTTTTCGAAAGTTCGCACAAAATGTGAGTACTATACACAGTTGGTCAGTAGAACCTGATTAAGTTTTACCATGTAGACTCCTACTCTATGCACAAGGAGCATTCACATCCAAGTTGCTAGTGAAACTTTCACAACAGATTAATTACTCTGAATTACCATACACATTCTGTGAAAGCAATGTCAACAATTTACCTACTTCACATGCATGAGCTGTTACTAAACAAATGGAACATAGTTTACATCTGGGAAGTTGTCTAGTAGTGCAAAAATATTACTGGTCTTTGCTTAGTCAACCCAGCTCAGGCAACACCTCAGGACCAGTAATTTTGCACTTCTTCAAACATTGTTGTATAAGTATTAGTATAGTAGTCGAGTCCTTTTTCAAGTCTGAGATGTATATTGAAATGTGAGTGGATACATAAGAAAATAAACCGATTAAGTGATACGAGTACGTGAGCTTTTGAGTATAGGAATATGAGCATGCGGGGCAACAGGGCAATTTGGAAATTTTAAAGGATTTGAAGGACTTGGACTTGATTTACATCAATTACAATAGAAAATCACTCTTTTCACTCTCTAGATAAAAGTATGCCTTTCACCGTCACAATAGAAGCAAACCTTTTTGGACTAGTAACATCATGTTTCAGTCAGTAATTACCTTTTGCTGGGGGGAGTTCCTGGCACAAAATCATAGTCTTCACTGTCACTAACATTGGCACTATCAACACACTGATCATCAGGGGCAACTACACCAGTCTGTTGTTTAGCATTCACTCTATGCTCTTCATCACAAGGCTCCTCATATCTTGCCAATACTGTCCTGTTTGGTTGCACACATTGGGTGATCTGTGTAGCTCTGTCATTGTCCTTTGGGGCAGCTTTAATCTCAGGGAAGAGTGCTGGTCTAGTCTGATGTTCAGATGCTCTGTGGACATGTGAGTGCAGAGGAATGACAGGACTACTGGGGCCTCTTGCTTGTACTCTGTCTTGATGCTCAAACTCTGCATCAATATCTTTCATCCTGTCTGACCCTGTAAATACGTTAAAAGTTAAATTGTATTGTATTCTAAAACTTATCATTTTTATGAAGGAAAAAAGAACACCACATTACACTTGGACACCACATTACACTAATGACTACCCCAAAACACTACCCACACAAGGCCTTTTGCTATATAAACTCATTGGCAACAATGGACCTCTGGAAAATGAAGGAAATAAAAGGAATAACAGAACAGGATATCAATAAAATGGAATTACATTTATTGAACTGTAATTCATATCCAATTCAATAAATGTAATTCCATTTAATTAATACCCTGTTCTGTTACTCCTTATAATTTCTTTCATTGTCCAGAGGCCCATTGTTGCCATGGTGATGATATAAACATTGTGTTGGTAGAGTTTTGGGGTAGACAAAAGAAAGACTTGTATCCGTTTCATGCATGGCTGAATATCAGTGAAACTTTTACTGACTGTGGTCAATACCCAGACCAAATGTTAGTTGTTTTTTTCCCCCTTAATGATGTTTATAGAATGAGTTGAATAGTTTCTGAGTTTTTAAGGCTCTCCAAAATAAGGTTAAATTGAAGATAGTTGGTACATTATGATGTGGGCTAATTGGAGCGTGTTCAAACTACTAACCCCACAGAATGATATGTTTGAGGGTCGTGCCTTTGGATAAAGGTCCAACTTTATATTGCACAACAGGAAGCTAGACTTACTGTCTTTGACTTAACTATTTGATTATTTCATGTCTTTGTTCTCTTTTCTAAAGGCACTCCGCTACAAGCCTTGGCTTATTAGGATTGTGCCTCCACAATATTGTATTTTGCTTTCTATTATGTTATTGTTCAGTATGGAAATAAATGTAATATTGAACTGAATTGAAAAACTGTAGCATACCGGCCAAAGAGAAATATTACACTTTGGACGGCATTTTTTGGTACTAGCTGGCATCCATGCTAGATCAATTCTTTGAACCATGACAAACAAGATGTGGGTGGATGGGTGGATGCCATCGTTAATTTTGACCCTAAATATACCTTATTTGCATAAATTGTTAATCCCTGCCGCGTAATACATTTATTCCCATATTTGGGTATATTCTTAATTTATTTTTGAAAAGTTTATTTTAGTGATTCTACTAACACACCCTTACTTAAATAGCATTTTCTTAAGCCGGCCTCAGGTGGACCCACGATTTGCTTGCGCCACGAAGGAACCGTCGGCATCAAGCAGAAAAATAATGCTCAGGTCACAAAACTGAGAAATCATGTGATGGTCGCGGAACGTCGCAGAAGTTGAAATTTTTCTAATAAAAAATACAACATATGGGATTAATGATTTTGCAAATTAGGTATATTAAGGGTCAAAATTAACGAAGGCATCCACCCACATCTTGTTCGTTATGGTTCAAAGAATTGATCTAGCATGGATGCCAGCTATTACCCCCAAAATGCTGTAAAACTATTATCTAGTGAACTTTTCCACATTTGGCTGGCCTACAACTGCCAAAATATACATAATAGTTATGATATTTCACAGCTGGGCTGTGCATCTGTTGTAGGCATACAATATTTCAACCCAACGTTCCACAAAACAAACTTGAGTCAACTGCTTGTTGTTATGTTATTGATGTACCCTAACGTGGCGCGGCCCCTAACGTGGAGCACTTTGATTTTTCGCCTGTAGCGCCTCGCTAGAGTAAAAGTTTTATCTGAAAGTTCTAAACACTCCCGCTCCTTAATCATGACCTTATCTACCTGTTACAAAGTTAGCAGAAACGTTTATTTGGGAGTGAATTTCCAATTTTATTTCAAAGTGCATGATGAACCCTTTGAAAATGTCCCCCAAAAATTACAAAATAATTTTCTGACAAACTTCTTGTTGGGTATAAAGTAAGTAAAGATAATAATGGTTTATCAAAATTTGTCAACTTTACAGAAATGTTTAAATATTAATTTGGAAATTTTCTGAGATTTATTGAAGTGCGCCAAGTTTGGCAACACTCTGCCGATTTGTGCCCAATTTCCGTACGCTGCTGTTTTTGAATTTCGGATTAATTTTCATGACACTGAAATTGTTCAAAGAGGTTAAATAGCAAGCATTAATAAGGTAAAAGTACCAGTATTTCATTGAATGAATTTGAAGTTGTCAACAAAGAAGTTTGGCAACACTGACGAAGAAAGTCGTGGTAAACGTTGAAGTGCACCACATAAGGGAACACCACTATAGTGCAATCTAGGTTTGTGGGAAAGGTGTAGGCCTAGTTTAGCTAAATATCATGCACATGTACCACTGGGGCCATAATGCCCCCTCCCCCTCACTTTTTCCACTAGGGGACATGGTCGGTCCCACAATAGCGTACTCTTGGAAAAGGCGCCCCTATTGATGAATGAGGTTTAGCCCCATGCCCACACTTTTTGAATTGGCACAGGCCAGCACTGGCGGTGTTCCCCCCCCCCCCCCACAAAAGTGTCCCGCCACCGCAGAAATGTGCACTGTCCCTGTTGTTTTTGCCCATAGTCCCGGCACATGCAAGTATTTATCATAAATTCTGGCTTATCTTGTTTCAGAACTATTGATCTGCCTTTGTTAAATATGTAGCATGGCAAACTAGATCTCATACATGTACATATCTTTTTGTGCTGCTTGCACTTGTTTTTTTTGCAAATGCCAGTCCTCCATTTTAAAACAATTTCCTTTTTCTTTAAATTTACTGACTTGGGCTACTATACAAGGGCTACCATTGGCGAATCCTTTTCTTTTAAACTAATATGATTTTCGTAATTTATCTCCAATGACCAATCGGCTCCAAGTTGGAAATCTTTCCTTCACTCACCATTTCAAAACAACATGCTTTAAGCAGGTGACATGGTGAGCAAAACGTTTTGCTATTCCTATTTTCCCCATAATACATGTAGCCTTTTCTTAGATGCAGCAGAAAGATGAACCGTGGACAGACCCCACGGGATATCATAGGAAGTGTATTAAGAGCAGTCCTTGTCAATTGTACATGTAGACCATGTCGTACAGTAACGAGCAAGTTTGAAATACCTCACATCACCCTCCGAAGGTATGTCTTTAAGTCTTTAAGGTATGTCTTTAAGTCGTGAGTGGCAAGGATCATCCTAGTCTTGGTCAAGGCATTCGTCATTATCTGTTTGTACGGTGTTTAACGGCATATCCTCACTGTGCAGTGCATTATAAATGCAGCTACGACCCCTGAAACACCACGGTCTACCACATTCCGACCTCCTGACAGTCTACCTAAGCATTGTCTGACCTCTCATGGAGTATGCGCACCCTGTGTGGGCAGGAGGGATCACAAAGAAACAGGTAGAGTCTATTGAGCGCATCAAAAAGCGAGCATGCCAAATCATCCTGGGGAAGGAGTACAAGGGATACACAGATGCCAGAGATCTCCTTCTTCTAATTACCCTCTCTGATAAACGGAGAAATCTGTGTCTCACATTTGCCCAATCCATGCTGAAACCTACATCTAAACTCCATCATGTGCTTCCACCAAGATCATCCAGAGCGTACAGTACAAGGAACAAACACTTGTTTGAGAACATCAGATGCAGAACTGTGCGCTTCAGTAACAGTGCAATACCATCTCTGTCCCGTCTTAAAATGGACATCTCTCAATTTGAAATAGCATACGAGGGTTATCTGTTTTTATTTCAATGATGGTTTTATGTAATTCGTTGAGTCTTAATTTTTATATATATCTTAATGCAATTTATTTTTTAATGAAATATTTTCATAGGTCATGTAATTCAATATATCTTAATCTGTATCCACAGAGTTTAATGTTTTTTACATTTTTTTTCTCTTTCAAAGTATGCATTTTACCAACAATGATTCATCTTGATTTTGACCCTTGTAAATCTGCCTGGTGCAGTAACACATTTTAATCTTCACACGATTTAGTTTAACTTAATGATCAATGTTTGTCCTTTCTATTCTTATTCATCATTTTGTTTAGTATAAGCAACTTTCTTAATGTTTTTAATGTAATTTAACCGCAACTCAGCTTTTGGCTGCTATGGTTGAATAAAATATACCATTTCAAATCATATTTCTGTGCCCTAAATTACATCTGTACACCTAGAACTGTACAACTGTAATTGGGGATCAGCCCAAGCACCAAACAAAACCCCCCCAAAACACCTAGAGACGTAGGGTATAAATGGTGCATTCTGATTAAGTGTTTCATGGATCCTATACTTTTAAAACGATGAATAGTTTGCAAGTTCAGTTGAACATTAAGCAGCAATACCCTGACTGTCTCACCTGGCTGCCTACAGTGACTGGTTTCCCTCTGGTTGTTGAGATCATCTGGAAAATCCATTTCATTTTGTCTCTTTGTATTAGGAGGCTTGGTTTTCCTGCATGGACGAAATGTATAAGCAATTATGATCAACAGTGGACTTTTCAACAAGTGTGAAGGGCTATTATCATGAAATTGAACTATGTATGTAGCTTACAGTGGTACATGCACATTAACAGTATCAGTCACACGTTCATGGTTCGTGATAAGCCGTGGGAGTACCGTATTCATCCTTAGTACCTCCGTGGTTATCTGTCATCTTCCTTGGGTATTATTCTTAGTATTACCGTCGATATTCTTCACCAATCCGTCCATATTCTTGACAAACCGTGGTGTATACGTAGAGAAACCTTAGGACAGTCATGGCTATCTATCCTAAAACTGTAGAGTATTCTCAGAAAGTCAATTTCTCCACGAATCACGACGGTTCATCGTGATCGATTGATTCTTGGTAAACCGTGGATATTCATAGCTCCAACTGTGAATGTGTGACTAGGGCTTTACAAGCAGCAGAAATAGCTGCATGATTTCAATTCTTCAGATTTAAAGTAATGAATAATAGTTTTCATTAAATAACTTGAATAAAATGTCCGTGTATTGGAATTTGGTGGTCAATGTATTGGATTTTTTTAATCAGTTTTGGCTCTGTGAGCACAAGGAAAAAAGTTGTCAACGATCAATGATTTGGATCTCCTGGTCAAATTCTTGTCTGCGTAGTCTGCAGGGTGGTTTCTCATTACCTGAATTCTCTCCGATCATCGGCTTGGTTAGAATGACTCCTGCTTGATGAGTTATTCACTGCTTGCTTCCTTTGCTTTGTTAAACTGTGATATTATAGCGATGGGAAAATGAACAACAAACAGATATCAAAATTAATCTGTTATCCCCTAAAATATTGTCCTACCAACTAAGGATGTGATATTTACATGCTTAGATAAACAACAACATTCAAAAGCTGTTCAGAAATTTCCCAAATGTTTAAATGGAACCTAAACTTCAAAAATGGGATACTGGATTCACAGGATCTACCTTCTATTTTTGATCACCTTTTATTTTTGATTACTCTGCCAAACTTCCCACAGCTGCTTATTTGCTTTCGATCTGGAGTTATTTTGTAAACATCACCAATTCTGATTTGTTGTCTATGCTTATTCAAGGAAAGTACTGCGATATAGCATTTTTGTATTGTGAGGCAATAAACTTGCCTGTTTTTGTATAATGCCTTCACCCAACCCTAGGACAGTAAATAACTCTGATTTGTATTGTGTTTTTGGTGATTTTCATTTGAACAGGTGTTTCATGTTTTAACATGTTTTACTGTTATAACGCTGCTTAAAAACAATCTTTCTTTTCAGTTTTGCTTTTGTGTATTTTTTATGTAATATTTCAGGTTGGATGGGTATGATTGTTACCTTGCAACTTTTGAAAATCATTAACTTTGCAGCCTGACGCCACATCCACACAAGCATCAACTTACTGTATTGTAAAGGCACCAGACTCTTCTACACCTTATTATAACATCCAAAAATGTTGAATATGCAAATAATGCCATACTACTGAGTGAGGGCTGCTAGTGGCAGCAATGTTGGACAATACTCATTACCTGTGTGTGTGGCTTGTATGATTGACTGCAGTGTGTTGACTAGCTGCAGAGACTCTGTGCTGAGTAGAGCTTTGACTGGATGGAAGGTCAGCTAAGGTGGCAAGAACAAATGTTGCTTCTAATGTTTGCTCACTCTCCATAGCAAACACAATGGGCCTAGATGACACAACATATGATTGGGCATAATTTCACGATGCTGACAAAGGAATGACTGTTGACTGGTCCTTCTAAAAACTAGCCATGGTGATTTGGTAATAATAAATAATAATAATACCAGAGTCTTATATCAACCAACAATTAGGTACTCAAGGCGTTGGTAATTATATCTATTTTTAAAGACAGGTAAACAAAGTTTTGGTAAGTTTCACTATTTACTAAAAAAATAAAAAATAAAAAATAAAAAACAAACAACTAAATAAATATAAAATAAAGATAGGCCTATAATTCTCCAAGAAGTTTGGTTTACACTTGTACGAACAACATGGAGAAAATAAAGACAGAAAACATTTTCAGATCAAAATATTGCATACACGTACTAATAAAATATTATCATAAGATGGAATTTTGCGTCAGGGTGATACAAATCAAATTAGGTTTTGCCCTTCACCAACGTTTAAACACTGTATACTCAGTGTGTTACCTCCCGTGTGAAAGTTGGAAAAAAATCACTCGGGTGGGACTCGAACCCACGACCTCCTGCTTTCTAGTGCAGATGTCTCACCACTCGACCACCGGGCTAGCGGGATCGTTTTTTTTTCTCCAACTTTCACTCGGGAGGTAACACACCGAGTATACAGTGTTTAAACGTCGGTGAAGGGCAAAACCTAATTTGATTTATATCATCCCGACGCAAAATTCCATCATTCCATAATAGTTTATGCGGTACCCGCTGCTATTTGCACCTCCGTCGGCGTTAAGCAGCGCAGGAGTCTACGCAGTCTCGAGTATAGCAATCCACCGGATGGATGTCTTTGTGACTGCTCAGCATTATTTTTACTTTAAAAGTTAGACATCATCTTGCAAGTCAATGATTAAATGGCAAAAGCAAATGGCAAGATGGTGCTGGGTGCCGCTTTTCTCAAGGCCGTGCCAGATGTCAATAGGGTGAAATCAGGTCAAAAAGTGGACATATAATGAGTATGAGTGGTGTAATGACTGAAGGGACATGACGGTAGCAGGCGTGTTCTTTTTGCCCGCTGCGTGCAAGCTCAGTGGCATGGTTGTGTCTTTGTATTTGGGCGTTGTCCTGTGCAGGGGCCTCTAGTGCCTTGGTATGTAATTCCTTGTGGGTTAGCCTTAATCCCTATTGTTGCTGTGCACTTAGATGCATTGGTTTGAGACTCGGGGGAAACGTGCTTGCTATCAGGCGCGCGCATGACGAGGCAGTGCGCCAGTTGTACGGTTCTGTCAACACGGTCGTGCCGGTACTAATTCATTTTGCCTGCCAGTCCGTCAGTTCAGTTCTTTGAGGATGGATTTGAAACTCGACTTAATTGAGGTAAAATTTAACAAAATGAATGAAGCGTATAGTTTAAAACATAAATAAATGAATACATACATAAGTAATTGTATGTTGTAATATTGTGTTTTGTTCAAAGATCATTTGGGTTCTCTCAGGGCGGCCTGGGTGTACGTTGTAGGCCACTTTTTGTTCGTTCGTACAAAAAAAAAAAAAAAAAAAAACAATAAGGGGACTTTTGGGCCACATTGCTGTCAACGGGAGTTGTCTCAACTTTATCAACATACACCTTGTTTTACTCTTACATGTAATTTTGGTTTGTTGATGTTTGGCGCATTAGAAATCCATACATTCTGGACATTGAAGACTTTGTCTTTGCGCGGGAGTTCCCGAATCAATTACAGGTTAGGCTTATATAAAAATGTTGTCATTGGTACATGAGTGATTAAAGGCAAATATGTAGATGTAAAAAAAAAACCCCCAAAAAATAAAAAATGTTCCGGGCATCATTCGTTGCTGGGCGATAAGCATATACATCATTATGCTCCTAGAGTTGTTCCTTTCCTGAATAACAGCCCTTGTTCATTTTCTTCCAACTCATAGGAGAAGGCTGATGCTTATCAAGCCATAGACAGTTCGGCCAGTGCCTTATTCAAGGGTTTATGCACTGCTTTTAAGGTGTCAGCCAAATGTTTGGAGCAACTGGTCCAGGACGGATGGGAGGAAGTGGACCAGCTTCAAGGGCTCGAAGGCCGCTGGAAGGAGCACATTTTGACTGTGGCGCCCAATGGAGGGCAACGCTGAAGTTTGGAGAAGATGCTGGAGCGGGTAGAAGCCGGTCCTTTGGATCAGGAGTGCAGCAATCCCGCAAAGAAACTCAAGATTCAAGGCGACGGTTCCCCTGCACAGGCAGATGTAGCCTCCAAGCAGGCAGACAAAGCAGGTCCCAGTACATCGCAAGGTGATAAGGAGGCCCCCGAGTCAGTGACCAAGAAGACGTCGCAGGTGAATACCCAATTTAAGTCCTTCATTATTTTACAAGTTGCACAAAGAGTTAAGAGCAGTAAGACCATTCCCGGGTTTCACACGGTGAAGGCATTTGCCCAACGTACGTTTGTGAAAAAAAATAGCTCCCCAATAGGGGCTTTTAGAGTGTTAATTTCATAGGCGTAGCGTGGTTAAGAGGCATCGCTTGAGGAATAGCGTTATACTAAGCACCAGTAAGCGTGTTTCGAGCACTGTGCAAGGTCCATAGATTGTTGCGTCACAGTACGCTATTGAAATGTGTTTGTCAATAACGTTCCGATTGTTGCTTCAAAAGGAAAGAGAGAGAGCTAGGGAAAAAAAGAGGCTTTTGAGGCAATCCCATTTCATTCGCTTTTGGCTGATTTTGCACATGGTAGAAGTTTGGAGGGTATATTTTGGAAGGCTGCATTTTTGTCTCGAAAAGAGGGGCCTCTAAATGTTGAACTTAGGGTGCCATATTTCATGGGCACGTTTGTAAAGGAGGTTTAATAAGCTGGAAAGCTTTAGTTTGTGCAATGTGTCGCGTCCGCAAGCTAGAGAATGTTTGTCAAGTGTTGTTTTTCTGAGGCACTAAATGGATGCCCTTTGAGAAAGGTCCTAGTTTCTATTTGAAGCCTTTTTTCGGAGGCCTTCATCATTGTTTTGTGTCTTAAAATATCTCACATAATTATCCCTCTTTCTCTATAGGTACTACATGTACACATATTGCTGTCGGTAATCAATTAGTAGATCAGGAAAGACAAGCCAGGTCAATGGTTTGTCGGTCAAGGGAGGGGCCTGTGCATTGTAGTTAATGCAATAAATAAATAAGCAATCAAAAAAACCAAAAAAATGAGATATGTTTGTGGTCGGTGGATAGGCCCTGACAGAGACATAACAAAACAAAAAGAGACATGTTTGTTGGTCGGTGGATAGGCCCTGACAGAGACATAACAAAACAAAAAGAGACATGTTTGTCGGTCGGTGGATAGGCCCAGACAGAGAAATAGCAAAAACAAACAGATGTTTGTCGGTCGGTGGACAGGCCCTGACAGTGAGAAACAAGCAAAGAAAAAAAAATATATATATATATATCATGTTTTGTGTCGATGGATAGGTCCCGACAGAGAGAGAGAAAAAAAGAAAAAAAAATAGAAAGAAAGAAAAAAAAAGAAGACATGCTTGTTGGTCGGCGGACGGGCCCCTACAGAGAGAAACAGAAAAAAGAAAAAGAAAAACAAAAGGACATGTTTGTTGGTCGGTGGATAGGCCCCGACAGAGAAATAAAAATACAAACAAAAAGAGACATGTTTGTTGGTCGGTGGATAGGCCCCGACAGAGAAATAAAAATACAAACAAAAAGAGACATGTTTGTTGGTCGGTGGATAGGCCCTGACAGAGAAATAAAAAACAAACAAAAAGAGATATGTTTGTTGGTCGGTGGATAGGCCCCGACAGAGAAATAAAAAACAAACAAAAAGAGATATGTTTGTTGGTCGGTGGATAGGCCCCGACAGAGAAATAAAAAACAAACAAAAAGAGATATGTTTGTTGGTCGGTGGATAGGCCTATCGGGGCCTATCCACCGAGACATGTTTGTTGGTCGGTGGATAGGCCCCGACAGAGAAATAAAAAACAAACAAAAAGAGATATGTTTGTTGGTCGGTGGATAGGCCCCGACAGAGAAATAAAAAACAAACAAAAAGAGACATGTTTGTGAGTCGGTGGATAGGCCTCGACAGGGAGAAACAAGCAATAAGGATACAAAAAAAGAAAATAAATACTCATGACAAGCTCTACCAGCACTTCAAGACACACTTCAGTGAGCGACCATGCCCACCCGCGACTGAGCTGCACAACCTCGAGAACCACCCCTACCTCACGCCCGATGCCGACACCCCCACCATCGATGTCAGTACGCCGAGCCTGGAGGAGGTCCGCGAGGCCCATGGGAAGCGACCTCGTGAGTCATGATGACGTCATTGATGAGTCATGATGAGTCATGATGACGTCATTTCAAATTTTGCATACTTGTGATATTATCTACCTATCCACAAAGTTTCATGAGGATGGGAACTTCTGTCATATATGTGTTTTGGAAATTCGTGTTTTTGGTAACGTCATCGTGACGTCACAAATTAAAAAACAATTGTGTATATACCTATTACCTAACAAACCAAATACAAAAGGAATTTTGAACTCATTTTTATCTTTAACACATCGCAATTTACCGACACACTTACTGTTCTGTAGATATAGGACTTCAAAATATGCACGTTTGTGATGACGCCACGTGTCCCATGATGATGTCATCATAACAATACCTGTCAGTGCACATATTTTTTTATTGTGGTCTTGATGTGCACCAAGTTTGACGTTAATCCAATGAAACAAAGTGTAAACTTTTGTAAATGCAATAAAATTTTAAATATTTAAAAAATCATAAAAATCAACCGATGACGTCATGGTGACTTCATTTCAGATTTCTTGTGACACCATCTACCTATCCAACTATCCACCAATATTTAAAAAATCATAAAAAATCAACCGATGACGTCATGGTGACGTCATTTCAGATTTCTTGTGACACCATCTACCTATCCACCAAGTTTCATGACGATTGGGCCTTCCCTTATATGTGTTTTCAAAAATGGCATTTTTGATGACGTCATCGTGACGTCACACTTTTTTC